TTAGAAGATATTTTTGGTTTTTAGATTGACCAAGAGCTCATGATTACCTTTTTTTTAAAACTTTTTTTAAGCAATTTATTATATATATAAATTGGGTGAAAATTTATGAAAAACCAATTGTTTTTTTTTTTTCAGTTTTCTATACACATTGACGATTATAAAATATATAAGATATATTTTAATATTTTAATATATATATATATATATATATATATATATATATATATATAGGACTATATTACTCTTATTATTTAAAATTAATCTTTTTAATTTGTCGTTTGTTATAAAAACTCTCATCAAATTAAATTTTATTCTTCTTGTTTATATAATTTTATTTGTTAATAAATATGATTTATTTTTCTCAATGTATGAATTTTTGAATAGCCTTTTGTACAAAATAAAATTGATTATTTCAAATAATAAAATAAATATATTTTGCTTAGTCGACAGACATAGCACATGAAGTCAACTAGTTATTTCAAACGACTTCAAAATATAAAAGGCAAATGTCCGGTAGTGACACTTTCCTTGTTGTTGTATATATGTAGATCGGGACTCGTAGTCTACTTAATTATTAGGCTTTAAGAAGTTAGCATTAGTAGTTGGCAAAACAAAATAAGAAATTGTATTACCACAATAAATTGAATTGGTCACCACTACAAAAATGAATGGTTATTCAAATCATAATCTTGTAAAGAGCTTTTTGGTCACCACTACAAAAATGAATGGTTATTCAAATCATAATCTTGTAAAGAGCTTTTTGGTCACCACTACTCGTTCATTGTCTCTTTCTTTTTGAAACCAAAAATGGTTTTGGTTCCTCCCGGTTTTTTACCAATTTTATTCTAGCCGACTCATATGTCCTTCTCCTTTATTCGGAGTGCAAGTCGTGCTCGCAAACAAGGAAAAAAATGAAAATGTTAAGAGAGGAAAAATAACAAAAATGAGGAGTGGAAAACCTATACCAAAGCCGATCAAACGACTTAAAATGTAAGAGAGAAATGTCCGGTAGCGACACTTTCCTTGTTGTTGTATATATGTAGATCGGGACCTACAGACTTACTTAATTATTAGGCGTTAAGAAGTTAACGTCGGTAGTTGACAAAACGAAGAAGAAACCGTATTATCGCAATAAATTGAATAGGCCACCACTATAAAAATGAATGGTTATTCAAATCATAATCTTGTAAAGAGTTTTTGAGTCACCATTACTATTAATTGTCTCTTTCGTTTTGAAACTAGAAATGGTTTTGGTTCCTCCTAGTTTTTCACCAGCTTTATCCTAGCCGACTCACATGTCCTTCTCCTTTATTTAGAGTGCAAGCCGTGCCGCAAATAAGGAAAAAAATGAAAATGTTAAGAGAGGAAAAACAACAAAAATAAGGAGTGGAAAACCTATACCAAAACCGATCAAATAGCTCAAAATGTAAGAAAGAAATGTTTGGTAGCGACACTTTCCTTGTTGTTGCATATATGTAGATCGGGACCTACGGTTTACTTAATTATTAGGCGTTAAGAAGTTAGCGCCGGTAGTTGATAAAACGAAGAAGAAATCGTATTACCATAATAAACTAAATTGGTCACCACTACAAAAATGAATGTTTATTCAAATTTAAGTATTGTAAAGAGTTTTTTGGTCACCGATTATCGTTCATTGTCTCTTTCATTTCAAAATCAAAAATAGTTTTGGTTCCTTCGGTTTTTCACCGCTTTATCCCAGCCAGACTCACATGTCCTTCTCTTTTATTTGGACTGCAAGACGTGCTTGTAACAAGGAAAAAAATGAAAAGGTTAAGAGCGGAAAAACAACAAAAATTAGGAGTGAGAAACCTATACCAAAGCCGATCAAACCTAAAATATAAGAGAGAAATGTCCGGTAGTGACACTTTCTTTTTTATTATATATATGTAGACCGGGACTCGCAGATCTACTTAATTATTAGGCATTAAGAAGTTAGCATTAGTAGTTAGCAAAACAAAAGAAGAAATCTTATTACCACAATAAACTAAATTGGTCACCACTAAAAAATGAATGGTTATTCAAATCTTAGTCTTGTAAAGAGTTTTTTGGTCACCACTACTCGTTCATTGTCTCTTTCATTTCAAAACTAGAAATGGTTTTGTTTCCTTCGGTTTTTCACCGGTTTTATCCTAACCTGACTCACATGTCTCTCTCCGTTATTTCGACTACAAGACGTGCTTGGAAGAAGGAAAAAAAATGAAAATGTTAAGAGAGGAAAAACAACAAATATGCGGAGTGGGAAACCTATACCAAAATTGATTAAACGGCTCAAAATATAAAAAAGACATGTCCGGTAGCGACACTATCTTTGTCGTTGTATATATGTAGATCGGGACTCGTAGTCTACTTAATTATTAAGCGTTAAGAAGTTAACATTCGTAGTTGACAAAACGGAAGAAGAAATCGTATTACCATAATAAACTCGAATTAGTTACCATTATAAAAATGAATGGTTATTCAAATCTTAGTCTTGTAAAGAGTTTTTTGGTCACCGCTAACTTTTATTGTCTCTTTCATTTCAAAAACAAACATGGTTTTGGTTCCTCTTGGTTTGTCACCAGCTTTATCCCGACCAACTCACATGTCTTTCTCCTTTATTTGGACTGCAAGACGTGCTGCAACAAGGAAAAAAAATGAAAATGTTAAGAGAGGAAAAACAACAAAAATGAGGAGTTGGAAACCTAGACCAAAATTGATCAAATGACCCAAAATATAAGAGAGAAATGTCCGGTAGCGACACTTTCCTTGTTGTTGTATATATGTAGATTGGGACTCACGAGTCTACTTAATTATTAGGTGTTAAGAAGTTAGCGTTAGTAGTTGGCAAAACGAAGAAGAAATCGTATTACCACAATAAAGCTGAATTGATCACCACTATAAAAATGAATGGTTATTCAAATCGTAGTCTTGTAAAGAGTTTTTTAGTCACCACTATTGTTCATTGTCTCTTTCATTTCAAAACCAAAAATGGTTTTGGTTCCTTCGTTTTTTCACCGGCTTTATCGCAACCGACTCACATGTCCTTCTCTTTTATTTAGACTCGCAAGATGTGCTTCGCAATAAGGAAAAAAAATGAAAAAAAATGTTAAGAGAGGAAAAACAACAAAAATGAGGAGTTGGAAACCTACACCAAAGCTCGATCAAATGGCCCAAAATATAAGAGAGAAATGTCCGGTAGCGACACTTTCCTTGTTGTTGTATATATGTAGATCGGGACTCGTAGTTTACTTAATTATTAGGCATTAAGAAGTTGGCATTAATAGTTGGCAAAACAGAAGAAGAAATCATATTACCACAATAAACTGAATTAGTCATCACTACAAAAATAAATGGTTATTCAAATCTTAATCTTGTAAAGAGTTTTTTGGTCACCACTATTGTTCATTGTCTCTTTTGTTTCAAAACCAAAAATGATTTTGGTTCCTCTTGGTTTTTCACCAGCTTTATCCCAACCGACTCACATGTCCTTCTCTTTTATTTGGATTGCAAGACATGCTCGCAACAAGGAAAAATATGAAAATGTTGAGGAAAAACAACAAAAATGAAGAGTGGGAAACCTATACCAAAACTGATCAAAATGCCCAAAATATAAGAGAAAAATGTTTGATAGTGACACTTTCCTTCTTGTTGTATATTTTTAGATTGAGACCTGCAGTCTAATTAATTATTAGGTATTAAGAAGTTAGCATTAGTAATTGGCAAAACAGAAGAAGAAATCGTATTATCATAATAAATTGAATTGTTCACTGCTACAAAAATGAATAGTTATTCAAATCTTAATCTTGTAAAGAGTATTTTTCCTTAAGTACTCAAAAACAAAACAAAACAAAACAAAACAAAAAAAAAAAAAATTCTGTAATTTTTTTTAAGTACAAGAAGCGCAGTGGTACTTGAAGAGAAACCTATTATTGGTTGTTGTTGTCCAGTCTCTTTCTCTTTAACATGAATATTGAATTATTACCCAAACACCCTTTCTTTTCATTGTTTGGTATGTAAACATCATAGCATCTGTTTTAGGACCATTATTCATCATTGATCTAGAAAAGCATCTGGAAGCCGACGAGATATATACGACACATTTTCCATGTACGGTCTGAATAGGAGTATGACACACCAAACTGGAATTTCTGTCATTATAAAAATGATTCACGTTCACATTGATTGCATGCCAAAATTTGCACATAAAGCCGTTGACCATAAATAAAGAAATAATGCTCGTCCTTTTCCCAGCAACTCCACCATTATTTTTCAATTCAAAAACTCAAAATTCTTCGTATACTTAAGAGACTTTTCTTGCAGGTACGGATGCACCAAATAATTATTCCAAAATCCATCCATCAATATATATATACGATTTTTTTTAACTGACTTTCCATCTGAAAAAACAACTTATCCATGTAAAATATACATATTTTATAACTTCTTTCTTTATTAATTAATCAACTCATAATATTCTAGAAAAGTTACAAGAGCATGGTGATTAAAAAAATGAAGCTATAATCTAAAAAGGTTGTTTTGAGCTAGAGATGTTCTAATCAAATAATCTCAAATTCAACTTTTTATATACATAAAAAATTTATTAAATAGCTGATTTTGTTTTATATATTCGATAGGACGGTGATGGATTAATGTATATCATTAATGATAATATACGCTGGAGACAAGAAAAAGCAAAAGCGAACAGAATTTTCCTATTGGCCGATCGTTCCAATGGCCTGTCACATTGCAACTGTACATCGAAGTCAAAGTTCTCATCCTCACCTTCTCTTACATTTTCCCTCCCCAAAAAGCCCTTCACCTTCTTCTGACCAGCTTCCAAAAGCCTCCTCTCTCTCTCTCTCTCTCCCCCTCTCCCAAAGGCTTTGAATAGTATCATCAACGTTGTATTAATCACAGTACTACCATTAATCCTTTCTCACAATCTTTTTACAGATTTGACATTAATTCTGTCTTTCTGAGAGACAGTAACTACCATGTATATGTTAGTCAACTGTTCAAACTGCCACACCCCTTTGCAGCTTCCACCAGGAGCCAACTCCATCCGCTGTGCTATCTGCCATGCAATAACCCACATATATGACCCTCGCTCTGCCCCACCACCGCCTGCTCTATCTTACTCCTCATCGGGCCACCACCAACATTACCCTCCCCCACCTCATTCTTCTCAAGTGGTTCCATCACCATACAACCATGCACCTCCTGGCCCACCACCTTCTTTCCATAGCGGAAAGCGTGCTGTGATATGCGGGGTGTCTTATAAGAATACCAAGAATGAACTCAAAGGTTGCATTAATGATGCTAGGTGCATGAAGTACTTGTTGGTTAATAAGTTCAATTTCCCTGAATCATCCATCATCGTACTCACCGGTAAGAATTTTCTAAAATTTCTTTTCCTTTCTTGCCTTTCTCGAAAGATTCTTGATAGTTTGGTTTGTGTTATTTTTTAAATTCCTTGAAAGAGTATTTTCCATTCTTGTATTTTGGGTTCACAAATGGCATGATTGGATTCACATTATTGACCTTTTCTTTCCAAGTTATTGACTTTAATTTCAGGATTTTGCTTTCTAGATACCGTCTTGATAGCTTAATTTCAATTATTTTGGGTTGTTTTTAGTGGATTATAAGTACCCAAAACCCTGCAATGTGCATATAATTTCCTTGGGTTGATTTTGCTTGGATTATTGATCCTGTACTGCTAAAATAATGGTCCATCACCCAATGTATAAAGTCATTGACTTAGGTTGGTTCAATTGAATATGTATTATAATGCCTTAGCTTTTCCAAATCAGGGGAAATTCCCTCATGTTTTGAATTTTGGTAGATTTTGGAATGAATGATATGCTTGCAGTGTACTCTCAAACAAAATTTGTATCTGATACACACCCATACTAAGATGTAATCGGCTGAATTGAAGTTCTAAAACAAGTGAAGAGGGATTTCAGGTTTAAATTTGACCAATGATGTCCATATGCTTTAGGAACAGGGGATTTTGTATGATTTTATCACTATTCATGCTGATTAATAATCAATTTGCAGAGGAAGAAACCGATCCTTTTAGGCGACCAACCAAACATAACATGAGAATGGCATTGTACTGGCTTGTGCAAGGATGTCAACCTGGAGATTCCCTAGTGTTTCATTTTTCTGGTCATGGTTCCCAGCAGAAAGATTACAATGGAGATGAGTTAGATGGATATGATGAAACACTTTGTCCAACAGATTTCGAAACTCAAGGAATGATTGTGGATGATGAGATCAATGCAGTGATTGTCAAGCCTATTCCTCATGGTGTTAAGCTTCATGCCATCATTGATGCTTGCCATAGTGGCACTGTGTTGGATTTACCATTTCTCTGCAGAATGGACAGGTTAGTCCTTTCCAATTCTTTTCTTACTTAAAATGCATCATAACCTTGTATGATACTAAGTAGGTAGTGGAGAAATACAAGGACAAATCCTTGTTCATAGCCTTTGCTGCAAATACTAGCTTTAAATGGATTTAATTTCATTCTCGTTCATGCAGTCTGCATAATGTTTTTTTTTTTTAATCATAAATGCTTACATTGTTGAATCTAGGAGTGGGAAGTATGTTTGGGAAGACCACCGCCCTCGATCGGGAGTATGGAAAGGAACAAGTGGTGGAGAGGTGATCTCCTTCAGTGGCTGCGATGATGATCAAACGTCTGCAGACACTTCGGTACTTCCCTAATTAAGCATGCACATCAAACTTTATAATTCAACTAGAAATAAAAAAAAATGGAGTTTCAAATTCACTATGGATATGCATTTATTCAATTTGACTCTTTGCGGACAGGCTCTTTCAAACATCACGTCGACCGGTGCAATGACTTATTCATTCATCCAGGCAGTTGAGCGCGGACATGGAACTACATATGGCAGCATGCTAAATGCAATGCGGTCTACCATCCGTAGTGCAACCAATGAGCTTAATGGTGGCCTTGTAACATCACTTATCACAATGCTTTTAACAGGAGGAAATTTCAATGGTGGGACACAGGTATGTTTTCTCATCAGTAGCTTGTGTTGCTGTTTGTTATTCTGCACATATCACCATTGCCAAAGCTGTGGTGACACAAATTTTCCAATCATGCTTGTTTGAATGTGCTTATGCATTGCATTCGTTAATGCTGCTTTCAGCTGTAATCTCCATTTGCTTAGCAAAATATAGATTTGAGCACATATTTATGGCTATGCTGATCGGTGATGTTCAAATTTTCATGCAGGAACCACAGTTAACTGCTAATGAACCATTTGATGTGTATTCAAAACCTTTTTCCTTGTAACTAGAGAAGAAATTGTCATGAGAGTGTTAAGTGTACAGTTCCTGAGTAAACACCAATTTCCATCATTTTACTTGTCCATTGCTACATTTTTCACTCACCATTATCTTTCTCTTGCTCCATGTCTGCTTGTAACTTTGTGTAGATGAATGATATGATTAATGATGTTTTATACATAAAATAATGCAAAATTGAACAGAAAAGCCAATTTAGTCACTTTATTAAGCAAGTTTTTCTTATTGGTGAGGAATCGGAGATCAATCTCTCAAGGGAGATTAGAGATTGTAGCAAGCACCATGGCGATTACATTCTATTTTCAAGGTGATCTTATCTCATGAACATGGTTTTGGAGAAATCATTTACCCATATTCTTTTAAAGAAGCTAATTGTGTTGCTGATTCCTTTGCCAAAACTGGAGAATACAGGCCTGTGGACCTTGTTGCTTGGTTGTGAACTCTCTGCTGCTACCATTTCAGTTCCTACTCTGCTCTTTTACCCTTGTTATGACTTGTCTAGCTGATGAATGATCCTATTCTACTGATCCTATGGCTGCCAATGTTATGCTGGACATTTGAGGTTTTAAAATGTTTATTGTACTTCTGTTTTTCTTTCCTTTGCTGCTTCTTTTGCAGCTGGTGCTTTTGTAAGTGCTTAGTTCCTTGTTTGCTTGCTCCTTGGCCGTTGGCTTTTCAATATTATTCCAACCTTTGACTTAATATATATATATATATATATATATTGCAACGGGAGTGGTAGCAACACGCTATGAAACGAGAAATAACATATGTTCTTGAATCTAGGACTTTCCATGCCAGAAATTCACATTTCCATGTTGTCGAGGATTTCGGGCTTCTTGATCCGCTTTTCCATTAGAGGCTGCCAAAAACCTCTTCAGATGCCATAATAATATCCATTTTCCATAGCTGTTTTTTTTTTTTTCTTTTTCTTTTTTCCATTTCTATAAGATAGTTTTTACTACCAGCAATTGTTTGACATGTTCAATCTCTTCTTCTGGGCACTTCTAAATCATTTTGTGAGCTGAGGAAGATTGATAAACAAGGAAGTTGCAAATTCAAGATCAAAAGGGGCTATTACTTTTCGTTTGGTGAGGTTTGGACGATTTTGCACCGATTGTCTGTAGAAGGCCAAGTGGAACGTTATAACTTAGAAGGGGCAGAATCCGGATAGCCTGCCAGAATCCAGCAAAATTGAATAGCACATATTAGAGTAATGACGTGGAAATGTATTGATGGTTACGGATTATTAGAAGTCAGTTAGTTAGTTAGTTGAACTGTTAGCATTAGTTAGTTAACAGTCAGTTATTAACTTTCTTTGTATATAAGCTGAAGTACAGTAGTTAATGAAAGTAATGAAGAATATATCAGAATACATTTTGCTGGCTTCTTTGTTTTCTCTGTTCCTTCCTCAATCAATTTCTGCTTGTTCTTGAATCAAGCTTCGTATCACTTCAACTTCTTCTATTCTGGAAAATTAACATGGTATCAAAGCCTCGCATAATCTAAGAATTAATCTTGTTCATCTCTCGGATTCAATCTTCATTCGCTTTCCTTCTTTAATCTACTTGCTTGAATTTTTTCATGGAAAGAGCATCTCAAAATCCACAATTTCCTACTTGTTGAAATCATTCCATCTAAGGACGATTCTTGTTCTCCCTATTATATTTACCATTCAAATCATCATGGATCTCTAGTAGTTACTCCATTGTTAATTACCGAGAATCATCCAACCTGGAGTAGATCATTCACGCTTGCATTGTCAATTCGAAACAAATTAGGGTTTGTCGATGGTTCTATCCCCAAACCTAAGGATGAGGACCAGCTGTTTGGTTCTTGGAATAGATGCAATAGCTTGATTATGGCATGGTTGCTTAGATCTCTATCACCTTCAATTGCTGCAACTGTATTCTATATAAACTCAGCTCAACAAATTTGAGGAACTGCGAAGAAAAGATTCTCTCAACCGGATGAATCTCAAATATGGAATCTTCGAGTGGTCGCTTTGTTCAATCGATCAAGGCACCGAGCTATGAGTACTTACTTTATTGAATTAAATGGAGTATAGGAGGAGTTAAGAAGCTACGGACCATTACCACATTGCTTTTATGGAAGTTGTAACAATGATTGTTTTCGGAAGTTTGTTGATATCCAAGAGAAGGATTATGTGTTCAAGTTCTTGAATGGGTTGAACAAATCACTCGCTTATTTGAAGTCTCGGATTCTTATTATGAAACCTATACCAAGTCTAGATGAAGTGTACAATCTAGCCTTGAGAGAAGAATCTCGGAGGAATGTGGAAGTTCTTGCTCGACCCTTAAATACGTATTCTGCTATGGTCGTGTATTCGGGAACAAGAAAAAGATGCAGATTACATGTTCTTACTATGGTAAACTTGGCCACATTAAAGACAAGTGCTATAAAATCATTAGATTCCCGAGAGAACTTTAAGTTTACCAAGGCAAAAGGCCATGTTACTAGTTTTGACACTAGTGGATTTATGAATTCTCATTCAAACAATGCTAATTCTTCTAGATACATTAATAATGTGGTATCAAATGCGGAGAGTTGCGGTTAAGATTATGCTTAGAATACTCGGACAAACTTATCTACGGTCTCTTACTCGGGAGCAAGTTTTCAAGCTTATGACACTTTTAAGTGTTCAAGATTCATAAACTTCAACCTCTCAACACACAAACCTTTTTTTACCACTTCCCGACCCATATCTAGTCTTACGGGTAGTGTTCCCAATCTACCAACTTGTTGTCATTTAAATAGTACCACTCCAATTTTCAATTCACAAACACTGGATACTTGACACAAGTGCAATTGATCATATCTCTTGTTCTTTTGGATGTTGTCAAAATTGTAAATCTATTTACGAAATAACGAGTTCAAATGCCAAATGGTACTAAAACCACTATTACTCATATTGGTCAAGTTTGTTTATCGTCCTCTTTTGTTCTTCATAATGTTCTTTGTGTTCCTTTGTTCAAATTTAATCTAATATTTGTCAATAAACTCATAGTTCAATCATAGTATACACTAATATTCTCCGGTAACAATTGTATAATTTAGGACGACTCTTCATGGACAATGATTGGAATTGCTAATCTCCAAGCAAGATTGTTCATCTTTCAATTTGTTCAAGCTAGTCATGTTTCATTTACTCAAAAATCTTTTCCTGGTTAGTCCGATAATCGTAGACATACTTGCTCATGTTGTTTTTTGATTTGTAACATTGTAGGTTAGGACATACTTCAAATCATAGACTAAAAATGATTCATTAGAATCATTCTATTGTTCATTGTAATATTAATTCTCCTTGCTTTGTATATCCCTTGGCAAAACAAAAACGTTTGCCTTTTTCATTTCATAATAAAACCACAACTTCTCTTTTTGCATTAGTACATATGGACATTTAGGGACCATATTCCGTAGCTTCTCTTAATGGTTTTCATTACTTTCTTACCATTATTGATGACTATACCCAAATGACCTAGGTGTTTCGTTAAACACAAATCGAAGTTCCGTCCATTATTCCCTCTTTCTATCACTTGATTCATACTCGGTTTAGCCATTCAATAAAACGAGATAAGGTATGATAAAGGACTTAAATTGCATCTTTCCAGACTTTTATGCTTCTAAAGGAATTGTCCATCGGTTATCTTATGTAAGAACACCACAACAGAATGCTATTGTAGAAAGGAAGCATCAACATCCGTTATCCATGGCTAGAGCTATTCTTTTCCAAGTTTTTTTACCATTAAAGTTTTGGGGAGATGCCATTCTTACCGCCACTTACCTTATCAACATAATCCCTTTTCCTTTATTGAATAATCTTTCCCTTATAAACTATTGTTTCAAAAGTCACCACAATATACTCATTTATGAGTATTTGGTTCTCTATGCTTTGTCTCTACCTTTAGTCATAACGGAAAGAAAGTTTACTCTAGAGTTACACCTTGTATTTTTCTAGGTTATCCTTCTAGTGTTAAGGGATACAAAGTATATAGTCTTCGATCACACAAGGTTTCAATTTCTAGAGATGTCATTTTTCATGAAGCTGTGTTCCCTTTTGCTTCCTCTATGTCTTCTTCATTCCTCCAACATTTATCTTTTGATAATTCTTCTTATCATATGTCTTCTATTTCAAATTTCTTTGATTTCGAGTCACATTCAACCTTCTCATAATGTCCTTCCTTCGAATATGTCCGATACACATCCTACCGCCACTTCTAACTTTACCGTTGAGAATGTAAGTCATACTCGTGAATGCATATCAACATTCTCTTTTGTCCAATAACACTCTTATCCATTCTACTCCATATCCTATCTTGTCTATTCTACTCTATATCCTATTCAAAAGTACATATCCACCTCTCAATTGACCACATCTCATGCTGCATTTATCGCTCCTTTATCTCGTTATTTTTGAACCCAAAACCTACTCACAAGCTATGAAGTTTGACCATTGGAAAGATGCCATGAAATCTAAGTTACAAGCTCTTAAGGAGAACCGGACTTGTCTTTTGTACCCTTACTTGTAGGTCATCACACTTTAGGTTGTAAATGGGTTTACAAGGTGAAGCTTAAGGTCGATGGCGGTGTTGAATATTATAAGGCAAGGCTTTGTAGTAAAGAGTTATAATCAAATTGAAGGTTTTGATTATCAAGAGACCTTTAGTCCTATTGCCAAGCATACCATAGTGAGATATTTCTTGCATTGATCTGCTGTTAGGGGTGGATTCTTTCTCGACTTGATATTAACAATATGTTCTTACATGGTGAACTTGATGAGACAGTGTTCATGGACATCGCACCTAGTTACCAGTCGAAGGGGAGTCTACAAGTACTTCTTCTAATTTGGTTTGTAAACTACATAAGTCATTGTATAGACTTAAACAAGCCTCTAGGTAGTGGAATGCAAAATTTATTACTTGCTCTACTTGAATTTGGTTTTACACAATCCAACACTAATTACTCCTTTTTTACTATGCATTGTTCTTCACAGAATACTCTTGCATTGTTGGTATATGTTGATGATACTCGTGATTCGTCAATAATTCTTCTTCGATATAGGCTGCTCTTAAGGATTTTTGAGTTTCAAATTTAAGCTTAAGGATTTGGGACATCTTAAGTATTTTTTGGGGATAGAAGTAGCTCGATCTACACATGGTATTGCTATTTGTCGGAGGAAATATGTTCTAAATTTATTGGAGGATTATGGTTTTTCAGTTGCTAAACCTATTTCCACTCCTATGCATTCTAAACGAAGCTTGTTCACACTTCGGTTGATCTTCTTTCTAATCCCACCGAGTATAGGCAACTAGTTGGAAAGCTTCTTTATTTGACCTTTAGCAAACCCGACATCTCCTATGTTGTCCAAGTTTAGCCCAATTCATGGATAATCAAGCTATGATCCACTTACGAGTCGCTCATAGGGTGTTTTATTTCTTAAAGGGTGCACTGTGCCAAGGATTATTATTCTCATCTCATTCCCCACTTCGATTGCAAGCTTATTCGACAATGATCGGATCGACCGCCTCGAAAACAAGAAAATCAATGTCCGGCTTTTGTGGTTTTTTAGGAACTTTACTTATTAGTTGGAAATCTAAGAAACAAAGCCTTATAGCTCGTAATAAGCATCGAAGTTGAGTATGGAGCCATGGCTACAATGACTTGTGAGATCATGTGACTCTTATATTTGTTGATCGACCTTGGGGCTCATCATCCTCAACCAGTTCGGCTTTTGTGTGATAATTAATCTACTTTGCACATTTGTAAAAATCCCGTTTATCATGAACATACCAAACATATCGAGGTTGATTGCTATTTTATCCGTGAGAAGATTGTCGCCGATATTATTCAGCCTCAATTTGTTCCCACCGATCTACAACTAACGGATGTGTTCACAAAATCACTACAACCTAGTTTTTCTCATACTTTAATTGGCAAGATGAGCTTGAATAATATCCATTCTCATATGGAGGGAGAGTATTAGAGTAATGACGTGGAAATGTATTTATGGTTACGGATTAGTAGAAGTCGATCGGTTAGTTAGTTTAACTCGTTAGCATTAGTTAGTTAACGATCAATTATTAACTTTCTTTGTATATAAGTCGATGTACGGTAGTTAATGAAAGTAATGAAGAATATATCGGAATACATTTTGCGGCTTCTCTGTTTTCTCGTTCCTTGCTCAATCAATTTACGCTTTTTCTTGAATCAAGCTTCATATCACTTCAACTTCTTCTATTCGGAAAATTAACAAGACACGACCTAGTTAGTCAATTTATTAAGCATGTTTTTTATTTCGGCGAGGAATCGGAGATCAATCACGAAATGAAATTAAACCACCGGATAAAAGTTGGCACTTTTTTTCTTTCCATTTCGTAAAGATAATATTTTCTCACCAAGCAATTGTTTGACACGTTCCATCTTTTCTTCTAGGCACTTCTAAATCACTTAGTAAATTCTCACAAATGCTCGAAAGAAATGAAGTTATTATCAACGTACACAAGCAATGGTTAGTCATGTTGCTTTTGCTTCCATGATTTGCTTCTATAAGTAAGAATGTAAAAATATGTGATTCAAGTCCCTCTAGTTTTATGAAGAAGACATACACACTTAGTAATTAATTTGGGGAATTGGGGAAGTTCATAATTTCTAGCAAGTATATGAGAGAGCTATTGTACTTAAATAAAAGAATTAACATGCGAAGTTTCCCATGTCTTTAATTCTTACCTTGTGATGGAGGTAGGATAATGTCCGTTTGAAATGCCATGAACAACAACCTTATGTTTCAAACTTAAAGGATAGAAAACTTTGCCCACAAACCAACATAAAACCTCCTATTTTTTATTTTGTATTTTTTTTAGAATGAAAACCAACTTTCTTTTGTGGATTTTGGATAGAGGAGAGAAATGGATGCAAATGAGTTTATCTAAAATGGCATTATATAGAGATCCTCAAGATTTTTTTTTTTTTTTTGGAACATGAGATCCTCAAGATTGAATCAATAAGATTTAGATATTCATTAGTATTCTAACCATAAAAAGATTTTTTTTTTTAATTAAAGGTATATGATAATTTTATTGAAAGATTCTTTTCGGATCACTTACTATGGAAAATCTCATGTATTGAATTCGAGGATCCAACTAGTAGATTTTACAAAATTAATGTAAGATTTCTAAAAGCAATTTTAGATAAAAAAATATATATATATGTAAGATTAGCATTATCAAGTTCCTCTATATTAATGATTTAATGAAATAATTTATTCTCAAACTATTGGAATTATAAAAAAAAGACCCATATTATCAATTTATGTTATTCAAATCTTAAACTATTAATTTTTTAAACAAATTTTATCTTTTTCTTTTATTTTTAGCTATTAAAGTGTTGCTTGTTAATTGAAATAATTAAAACAATGTTGTTTAAAGTATCTCAATTATTTTTTAAGAATTAAACTTAATTTTTTTAAAAATATATATATTTTTTAATAGATGGATCCATTGCATTAATTATCCAACAACAAAATCATATAAATTTCCTTGAATCTAACTATTATTAAACATTTTTGTTTTTCAAAATGAATATTAAAAAAAAAGTAGTTTTACGTATTTTAATAAATGATTAACATTTTAACTGTCAAAAATAACGAAAAAAGATAAAAGTTATCCACGAATTAATAATTTGCTATATGAATGGCTCAAATTAATAGAACAGGTTTTATTTCACTTTAATCTTAATAATATGAGAGTAAACTGTCCTATTAAACCCTAAATACGTTAATGGAAAAGAATTTTCAGTCAAAGAGAAAGACAAAAGAAGATTGTACGGGTTTAATAAAATCAAATTGACATCATTGTCTATAGTAGCAATCAAATTAAGAGATTTCATTGTCAGAATCTTTTTATTCGTTCAATCATAATCTTTACTCTTTTTCTTGAGAAAAGAAAATTATTTCATCATTTTTTTTTTTGGAAGCAAAGTTAATCATGTTGGTAAAAATACTGAAAATCGGTAAATTTAATTTCCCCTATTTTGTTCAGGGCCCGCCACTTGTTTTGGGCTTGTTCTGGGAATTGGGACCAGCGCGCAGTTGGGCTTAACTGAACTGAATTTACCCCTTCCGCCAATTGGATTTGTTTGCAAATGGTCCGCTTACTTTTAAAATGTGCTAAAAGGAACAAAAAAAAAAAAAAAAAAAAATCGATTTTAGTTCATTTGAAAATTTTTAATTTGTATTTTAATCTTTTTAAACTTTATTTTTTAAAAAATTTAATTTATTTTCTAATTTTTAACTAACATATATATTTTTTTTTCAAAAATCAATTTTTGATAGTTTGATCTAAACTTTTTTTTTTTGTTTTTTACACACATTAGCAAAAATTTCAGAATTTTTTAAAATCGAAAATTATATTTTTTATTAATATTAAAAATATAAAAAATTAAGAAGAAAAACTTACAATGATTCTAATTTTTTTTAAAAAAAGTTTTAGATAAATCTCACTGAATGATTTATATCGTAAAATTATTTATGTAATTTATATATTTTTTTTTAGGCAAATGATAAGAAACTAAATGATGGATTAAATCTAAAAAAAAAAAAATTAAAACGCAAATGAAAAATTCAAAAAAAAAAATTTTTAAATAGATTAAAATTCATGAAAGGTTTGGCCCTTAAAATATGCAGTAATTTTTTTAAATAGCCATTTCATTCAGAAAAATGAAAAAAAAAAAAAGATTAAATTAAACCATAAATCAATCATCATCCGCATAGAAACTGACGTCGTCTTCATTTTAGTGAAACGACAAGTCGTTTTTCATTGACGTCCACGTCATCTTGATGACGTGGTGCCTCACCCCAGCCACTAGTAACTGGACGGTCCTTTAAAACAGTTCTGGTCCAAAGCCTTGCTAGCCACCAGATAACACAGCAAGACGGGACAAACCTTCTTGAACTTATCACTACCAAAAGTCCCTGTAAACCACCATGGCCACCACCGCCACAACCAGCACCTTCCCCTTCTCTTGCTCACTCTCCAAGGTCTCTCCTCCACACAATCACCACCACCACCACCACCACCTTAAAGTCCCCATCTTGACTCCTAGTAGAACCCGTACCATGAGAATTCATGCTATGGGAGCTGGGGACAAGTTAGGTGAATTTGGTGCTAGAGACCCTTTTCCTGCTGAAATAGAAAGTGGGTTTGGTGAGAAAGTGTTAGGCCATGGTGATACCGAACATAAGATTCTCATTCCTACTGTTTCTGCCCTTTCTCTTTCTCAGCTAGAGTGTACTCCTTTATCTCCTTTGCAGGATCCCATGTCTAAAGATGATGCTCAAAAGCTGTTAAAGAAGGTAAATTTCAAGTCTCCATATGGATTTTCTTGCCTCTCTTTTCTGTTTTAAGTTTGTGGTTTGCTATACATTGCATGTTGTTCAGTTCTAGTTAGTTCAAATTAATTTATCTTGTGCGAGTTTATGCTTGTTGAGAAATGTCAAATTGGAATCGCAAATGTCAGTAGTTTTGTGGTGGTGGAGTTGATTTACTAGTTAAAACTGCTTGATGTATGTTAATTAGTAGATAATGAAGATGGGAAATGAAGAGCACTCGTTTGGTTTTATTCCTATAAAGCTGGAATCATTATTTCTAATGAGATTTAAAGTTTGAACCTTTAGAAATGGCAAATTCCAGTGCTACATTTTGATACTTTTGACAAAGTTACAGACTGTAGATATTGAGTGTCTTTGATGCTGCAAATCAGTAATTCTTTTAAACCAATCTGTTCTTGGATTTTGGATTCTGGCGTTTGATTCTTCTTCTTGGCATCTTCTTTCTGAATGAAGTGCTTATTCTGCATACTTCCACAAATTTTGTCGTTCCATGGTTGGTTTTCTTCTGTTGTGTTCTTAATTATCAGGTTATTTAAAGTTGATTTAGTGGATAAAGAAGTCCCCTGTTTTAGAGCTTCTATGTAACATTTTCATTTTCTTCAACTCGGAGAAACTAATCAGCAGTGTGTTTCCAGGCTAAAAATCATTATAAAAAGTTCTTGAAGCAACCCATCTCTTTCATTAGATCATGTTGAAATGCATTAACAAGTGAAGTTCCTTTCATAATTAAATTGCATGTTCTTTATAAAAATCATAACTCCATGAAAAGATGGTTTCTCGAATTAGCAACCAGATAAAAGAAGTATACTGTTAGGCCTGTATTTTTCTCTCTTCAAGCTGTTTCAGTGTTTCAGTGCATTTGCTTCTGTTTCATTTCAAATGCTGACAGTCAAAAGCAAAGGTAGCATATCCAGTATTGGTTTTTCCTTTGCATAGGCATCTGAAGTAAAGTCTGGGAGTTCAATAACTTCCAGCTGTGAAAGCATCTGTGTTTTTGCTTAAAGGAAAAAAATTTTGTCTGTAGGTTCTTGGCTGGAGACTCCTGGATGGAGAAGGTGGACTTAAACTGCAATGCTTATGGAAGTTGAGAGATTTTAAATGCGGGGTTGAACTCATAAATAGAATTTATAAAGTTACAGAATCATGTGGCCATTTCCCAAATGTCCACTTGGAACAGAATCAAGTTAGAGCTGAACTATGGACTGAATCCCTTGGTAAGCTATAATAAGGCTCACATTTTTCTCTCTCACGACCAATGCTTTTTTACTTTTACGGCCAAATATTGGATTTCTTTGCACTCAACTTGCAGCCTGAATTAGATAATCTCTTTGCTAGCACTTGAAATTGAAAAATCTTCCATTTGAACTGCAGGCGGCTTGAGCATGAACGATTTCATTATCGCAGCCAAGATTGATGAGATTAAGACATCAGACCTTGTCCCTAGAAAGAGAGTATGGGCATAGTTGGATATTCCTTGTTAGCTTTCCTGAGGGAACTTGAGAGACGTATTTGCTCATAAGGTGGTGTTTCAGAAACAAACCACCAGTCTAGAGGAGCCAATTTTATCACAGTTGATAAGACAACTCACAGTTTTTTCCTCAATTCTTGTGTATAAGAATCTTGTATTCATTCAACTGCAGTTCAACGACAATATGTTCCTTTTCCTCTCTTTGAAGGGTTCTCTGATGTACAATCAATTAGATACCAAAATCTGCAAAATTTTCTTGCATTTGCTTTCTAACTAAGATATGATAGGATTGTGATATATAACCGAATTATTATTAGGTTAGAACTCTATACTTGTACTTATCTTATTGGGTCATGTTGTGTGTTAATATAGAACACATAAGCGTGTTGAATTCATGGATAATAAACCTCTTCAAGATAATGTATTGTAACGATTTCTAGAAATCTTCGGAACTTTTGGTGACATATCTTCACATCCAAAAATCAAATTGAGGATGTAAAATAATAATTATAATAATAATAATCAAAATCAAACGGAGGAGGTTTGTCATTATGATCATACTGTGGGTCCTAACTACACGCTGAAATCCATGTGTCATCTTTATCTCTCACTTTCACCATTCAAGCCCAGATCTGTACTACACAGTTGGGTACTTAGTACTGGTACTACTCTTAAGAACTTTCCTATTAGGAAGGTAGTACTTGGTAGCTAGTACTTGTGCTACCAATCTTACATGTCAAAATGAAGGGCACGGATCTAACATCCAAACTGCTGATGTGGCAAAATCAAGGGACTATATCAAACTTCTCCAATATTTTTTAAATCTATTTTTGGGTTTCTAGTATCAAACTACTTATAGGCAACAGCATCTCCTAAAGTTGAAAATTTGAGGAAAGATAAACTGATAGATAAAGAAAAATGGTTGCAGCAGCAGCAGCTACTGCAGCTAATCCACTGGCATGCTCACTTTTTCCAAGCAAAGGTCCCAAATTGATGCAAACCCATCTTTTTCTTTCCTTCCTTTACTCTCCCTTTTCTTGCTTCCTCTAACTTATGGTGTTTTCTGGCATTTCAGGTCTTAGAGGAACAGCCAGTGGGCTGCAATGGACAAAGGTAGTTTAGTTTGCCTATCGAATAACTTCAATACTTTTTGTTCCTCTGCTTTAAGGCATCCATAGTTGCACGCTGACAATTTGAGGATTGTCGTGGTTGCTAATATTACATGTACAGACAGTTAGAACATGTAATGCTAATGTAATTAGCTTCGCAGTGTGTGCACTTATGCTGTTCGACGAAATGCTTATCAAGTTAGCACATAAAGAAGGAGACTGAACTTTGTATTGATTTTCTATGCTGCAGAGGCAATGTACAAGAAAGACAGGTCCTTTGACAGTTACAGCTAAATTTGAGCTGAAACCTCCTCCATATCCCATGGTAAGATTTGAAACAAAGCAATTTCTTTTTCAAGAAATTAAGTTACTTGACAATGAGTAAGATAATGGGCTTGGATTTTTATTATTTGACAGGATGCTTTAGAGCCGCATATGAGCAAGGAAACATTTGAGTATCACTGGGGAAAGCATCACAGGGCTTATGTGAATAACTTGAACAAGCAAATTGAAGGAACAGGGCTAGATGACATGTCTTTAGATGATGTTGTGCTTGTTACATACAACAAGGGAGATCCTCTTCCTGCTTTCAACAATGCTGCACAGGTATAATAAAGTATCCTATGCATAAAAGTTTACATTTTTGTAATGATGCCAAACATTGTTTTATGTTTTGTTCTTAATCTGGATGCAGGCCTGGAACCATGATTTCTTTTGGGAATCCATGAAACCGGGCGGTGGAGGAAAGCCACCAGGGGAACTTCTTCAATTGATAGAAAGAGATTTTGGTTCTTTTGATGAATTTGTGCAAGAGTTCAAGTCAGCTGCAGCTACTCAGTTTGGTTCTGGATGGGCTTGGCTTGTATGTAAGTGACCTCTACTCTGCCAACAACGCATTTCCTACTTCTATTCTCTTGAAGAAATAACTTGGTTGCATGTGCTAGTGAAAATAAGAGTAATATATCTTGTCTGTTCTTTCTAGACAAAGCAAATAGGCTTGATGTTGGAAATGCTGAAAACCCTTGTCCATCAGAGGAGGATAAAAAGCTTGTAGTGGTCAAGAGTCCCAATGCAGTAAACCCCCTTATTTGGGATTATTATGTAAGTATTATGCCTTAGTTTCCTGATTTGTTTAATTTGTAGATACATAAGATGATGTTGATCATGTAAAAGGAAACATTACCAATAACTTATGATATTTGTGCTTGGTTCGTTCTCCTGATGTCGTTGCTTATTTCTTGCAGCCACTCCTTACAATTGATGTTTGGGAGGTATTCAATAACTCTGCTGTTTATTCACTAATTGACAAATTGTTTTTTTGAAAATAATTTTGATGTTTACTGATTACTGATTTGGCATTGAAATTTTGCTTTGTTTCAACAGCACGCATACTACCTGGACTTTCAGGTGAGGATCAGTTTAATAAATCATTAGTTCAAGTTTGCTTTCCATCTTACAAGTTTTTTTTTTTTTTTTTCCCTGTTTACTGGACTCGTCATTAAAGCACCTGATTAGTGATTATGTATTGTTTCTTCGTGTAGAATAGACGGCCTGATTACATATCAACTTTTATGGAGAAGCTTGTGTCGTGGGATGCAGTTAGTGCTAGACTTGAAGTTGCAAAGGCTCGAGCTGCCGAGAGAGAAATAGAAGAAGCAAGAAAGAAAAAAGAGGAAGAGGAGAAGAACTTTACGGACAAAAACCCTCCAGAGATTTTCATAGATGGGGTAGCTGATGATTCTGAGAGTGATTGACTTTAGATTGTTTTGCAGTTATAATCTGCAGAAAAATTTTGTGGCTCCTCACGTCCTTCATTTTGTCTCTGAAGGTGATATAGAGTTCAGTTTGAGCAGGACAGACTACAAACTTGTATCCGTCAACATTATGTATCATGAATACCCAGGCATCGACGTGGGAAACAAGTAATGTATAATTATGTACTGTTATTTTCAAGTTAAAACTCATCTGTTAGGCAGTTTCTATTTCTATTCATCCAAAGACCACCAACTTGGAGACTCACAAAGATAATAGATCCTTTCCAACTAATCTCATTGTTGTGCTATATGAACCGATGGCTAAAAGTTGTTATCTATATATGTAGATGAATGTCAATATATGCATAACTGCTTGAACATTAATGCCTCCTCACCATAACCATACAAGTTTTAGTTTTGGTCTGAATATACAGCTCTATATTCAAACTGTTGCTGGAAAAATGTGTAAAGAATCAATGACGTGAAGATGATAATATGATCAATCGCAAAAAAGGTTAATCTTTTTGCATGGAAAATGGCATCAATTCACTTTTATCATCAAAACGTGGTGTGGTGCCTGTATTGTTCTTGTATACAGCATCTGTGTCGCTGTACAATGGACCTGATTACCAAGATGAAAGCAAATGGATAGCAGAATAAATTACAAGCAGAGGAGAAAGCATGCTTGAACCCAACAATGAAACTATCGTTCCACCTGCAATCATCTTATGAGGGATGTTTTCAATGACAAAAGGTTTTCAAAATCTGAGGCAGAGTTTTCGACTCGAGGTGGTCCGAAAATCTCCCAGAAGCGAAGAGTCTCATCCCCTCCAGCTGATACCACTGTCAATCCATCAGGACTCTGCAACAAACCAATTGACAAGGTCCAAGGAGTGTTCATAAATTTTCCTGTAATTTCAACTGAAGGGCTAAAGCCTTAGTAAATCAAACCTGAGAAAGGTTGATGACTCTGCGTTCATGACGATTTATTTCTCCCACTTTAGTCATGGAAGGGTACTTCCACAAGCATAGATGGTTTTGAATGCTGGAATCGCCATAGCCGTGGCCGCTTAGTATCTCTTTGTGGTGTCTGTTCCATTCCAGTCCACATATCTGTACAATTCAGCATCAAATCAGGAATTCATAAACAAGTGCATGAATGGATCCTTTTTCTGCTTCTTGAATAACAGTTGAAAATCTGATGCATTATCAAAAGCTCCCGCAAAGCATTACTTGCCTGTGCTTTGGTCTCAACTCTATGAGTACAAGTCCCCTTTCTTATATTCCATATTTTAATACATCCATCTCCTGTGCCTCCTCCCGAGGCCAGGACATTGAATTGATAGGGACACCAAGCAAGCGCTTTGACCGCAGCTTGATTATGGGCATTGAATCGATGCAAAAAGTTCGACGAGCTCATTTTGGAAGCTTCCCATATGTGTATAAAGCTTTCATTTCCTCCACTTGCCAGTACATTACCTTCACTAGACCATTTCAAAGCGCACACTTCTTCGGTGTGTGCTCGTACACGTGAAGTTAAACTGTTTCCCACTCTTACTGTCAACGAGTTTGCAGATACAAGGAAATAGGAACGTTAGAACCATCACACTGTGTCAAAAAGTAATAATAAGTAAAATAGTCTAACAACCATCATGATTAATAATGGATCTGTCGCGGCTTCCTGATGTTAGAGTATGACCGTTCCAGGCAATGGCTGCTATCCTCCTCTGATGACCTCCCAAGCTTCTAATCTGTGAGTTGTAAAAATAACTATTTTACCATAAGAAATTCAAATAGCAGAACACTTTTCAAATCCAAAGGAAGCACAGAAACTTACACATTTGGAAGTCTCAGGATCCCAGATTTGAAGTTTGGACTTCATGCATCCGACTGCCAAACTTCTGGCATTCTCGGACCAGGCTACACTTGTTGGGTAGTCATTGTCACCTTGAACTTCCAATAGCCTCTTTACTTCTTGGTTCACTGCGTTCCATAAGTATAGCGCCGAGCCCAATGCAACAGCAAGAACATTGTTGTTTCCCCAATCCATGAGGTTCATATAGTAGTCATCTTTTATTTTTGGTGCATCCAGAACCCTAACTTCTTTCTGCATAGGTCCTCAAACAACATAAATGACTGATCAAAAACGTAGTTTATCTGTTTTTACAACTTGAATAAGAATAGATGATGGCATGATTATTCCAATCTGCTACAGGTTACTGTTATCTATTGAATGTTCTAATTGATCAAATTCCCAGAAAACAGAGCCAGCAAGTACCGTAGGCAAGCGGCGAGATTCATGTTGGTTGATTCTATTACTCAATGCTTCTGCATCAATATCTCTTCTCATCTCATCAATAACATAATTGAACCTTCGCCGAGATTTTGGACTTCCTCTGAAAACTAGCATCCTAAATGGCCTCCCTTCTGAGTCCAAAGTTAGACTTTGCCTCAACAACTCTCTGTATCCTTTCTGCCTCAAAGACAAAACACATTCGGAAATTCCAGATTACACATCAAGTGACAATTAAGAAAATACAGAATCCATATGTCCTCATGTAAATTTCTAATTCTAACGAACCCATCAAGCCAACGGATCAAAAAAATGACCTAAAAAATGATTAAGCCGAAAAAAAAAAAGCTATAAAGACCTAAAAAGGTAAACATTCAAAAATTTCCATGGCAATTAACCCCAGAACCCTGAGAATCTTAACCCAGCAGCGAATTTAATAAAAAACCAAAAACCCCATTTCCAAAAATGGCTTAAAATGCAATAAACTTACACCGAAATTGGGATTGTGTACTTCTTTGGTTTTGTTTGTCAACAAACAGTGGGCTTGATCAAGATTCATCAAACTCCTGTTTGGTATAAACCTATCCCCCTATGCACACATACAATAACAAAGAAACGAGAAAACAGTAAAACCAGAATCAAGAAATTCCTGGTTAAAAAAAAACTGACTATAAAAGGGGGGAATGGGCATTCAACATTCAAAAAACCATGATAAAAGAAATGAAAGAGATAGACGATTTTGTACTGGAAATTCGTATTGAGTGAGGCTGTCATGCAATCTTCTTGGAGAGTAACCATCTGATTGAACAAGTCTCTTCTTGCTTTGATCCATTTTTGGAGAGAGAAATCAAAGTCCAAGAAGACAAATTTCAATTTCTTGAATTCCCCTTCTTTTCTAATGGCGATATTTGTTGTTAAAAGAATTATAAACGTTGTAAGAGAAGGGTTTTGGTCTTTTCCCTCCAAAAAGCCAAACCGTTGTGACAAGTGAAGGTTGATGTCAGTTATTCTGTTGGTTAAACGCGCCAATTGCATGAGTCGGGTCGGGTTAAGGCTGTTCATTTAATGGGCTATCAGGATTGGCCGGATATTGACCCATTCATTTTACCTTAGGGCTTCAATATGTATCAACACCGTTTTTTTTTTTTTTCAGCACTCTCATGTGGTTGAATAAGAAAACTATTTTAGGGTAATTAAAATCTTAAATTTTCTAAAATAATAATAATAATAATTTTACTTTGAAAAAATAAAATATTAAATTTTAGTAATAAGAAATTTTATAATACTCAAAGAATATGTATAGTAATTACTCTTTAAATATTATAAATTTTTTTTTTTTTTTTGGATATTTTGAAGGTGCAAAAGCATACGAATATTTTGACGAGTAAGCAGTAACGAAAAGAATACTACCTCTCATCGTGTAGTCCAAAGCCCATGGGCCTGCTGATCAATAAAGCAAAAACGGTCTAACACTTCACTAGCCTAGAAGGTCATATTTCATTTTATTAATTTTCGTAGCAGCAGAATCCATCCAACTAATAATCTGAACAAAACTTTCAGTTTGGAGAATGGTAGTAGTAATGGACCAATTATCCAGAGTTTTCCTAATCTAGTTGGATTGATGAAAATCATGGTGTGCAAAGTTTTATAATCATCTTGAAAGAAGAAACAACATATATTGGAATCCATTTTTATACAATAATAAAGAAGTAAACATGACTCCACACATTCTGTAATGCCAGAACTTAAAATTAAGTAAATTGCTGCCCATTAGTAGCCCTACAAGATCTCCTAATTTCTCCTTGTTTTCCAGTCAGAACCCCTATAGCTCCCAACTTAACCATGGCAGCACCAAACCTGGTAGGGAAATCAAATGCATTAGCTAGGTTTGTGACGACAGGCCTTGTGGATGGGTTAGTTCCCAACTCTTGGTCAATTTGGAGAATGCCTCTACGTAGCATTACGTTCTGATAGTATTTATTGCTTATTGCAAATGGGCTGAACGAATTTTGATCAAGGTTTACTGTGTTGTCTACTGTGGCAAATGGTGGACATCTTGACCTCAGAATGTTTGCTAGGAGAGGATCCATGGATGGATCAGGTCTGCCAGTGTTTTCGAAGTTGAAAAGACGGTCTTTGATGAATGAGCAATGTGAAACCCCAACAGAATGAGCACCTAGTAGAAGCACCATGTCTGTAACGGTCAGACCTTTATCAGAAAATGCTGCAATGGCCTCAGGCACTGACGTTGCTGGACCTGGCAGGCTCACATTTTCAGCTACGGAGACTAAACTATCCCTTCTTCCTGTTTGAACATCGTATCTCCCTCCACCGCTCTGGACATGAATCATTCAATTTGGATGTTTTCAATAACCACAAAAACTCTAATAAAGAGAGAGATGTTTGGTTATTTACCAAGAAAACAGCGTCTCTTGTAGCAATTGCAATGAGATCAGCACAGGATACCACACCAGGGCAAGCGTTCTCCACGGCAGCCTTTGCTTGGTCTATAATTTCATATCCCCTCACGCTCAAATTTGGTGTTGCTGTTTTCTCACTGTTTCTTCCATCTATCAGTATCGATGCATCACACCCCTTTTTCATCATCATTATTAGTTAATCAGTTCAATAATTACATCTCTCTCGATCGAGGATGCAAACACCAAGCATCAATGAACAGATATCAAAATCCGTAGCAAATTAACATTTGTGAAAAATTCTGATGAAAAAAACTAGCACAATAATTCAGAATATTGGAACATTAACTATCATTTTGGTCTATTGTTAATATTAGTGCAAAATATGAACTCATGCATATAATGGCAGGATCTAGCATGTGGTTAAACTGAAGAAAAGTGCACACAAAGCTTGCTTGCCAACCATACCAAAGAATCATCTTTGCTTCTAGCTAAGTGGATCGTGCAGGGATTATAGCAGGTTGGTTAAGACTAAATTATTATATGCAAAGAGATTTAAAAGTTCCTAATTCCGGGGCGAAAATATGCAAAAATATAAGCTTACATTGACAAAGCAATCATGGAACTGCAAGCGTAAGAGTGCAGCCACAGTTGAAGGATCCCTGAACAACCGAGCAGTAATAACACCAGCGACGATAGCCTCAACATCTGCAAACCCACATTTGCCTCTGTAAAATCCCACCTGCAGTGCACCATAGCAAAAGCCAACAAAGTTCACTAAAATGAGCCCACGGGCTAATGTCAGAAATGCTGCCTCAACCTTCATTCTCTTTAGGGTGCTTAAAAAAAAAGGCTAATCGTTTAGCCTGGCTGTGTTATCTTCTAAATCATACTTTTGGTGCCATTTATATTTGGTTGTATCATGCCTTGCCTTTCTTTTTGTCAAGTATGACACTTTTTCTCAATCCAATGGCCATAAGTTGCAGGAGGATCTGTCTGTATTTTTGGAACATAAACATTTAGTAATGCATAATTTATGCTTGTTCACAGGGATGGTGTTGGGTCATTCCCTTTTCCCATTGCAGAAATTATTTTGTGGATTCAAGAGGATTCGGCTAGGATTTATTTATTTTTCACAAGGCAATAAAAAGAGGATTAGAATTGTTAAAAATCTATGTAGACACAAATTTAAAAAAGGTAAAACTCATCCCGTGTTATTGTACAATTCAATATTGTCTAGTTTAACTCATTTACTCGAGTATATATGATGCTTAAATAAATCATATACTATTTAAAATTGAGATAAATTAGTTTTTTTATTCAACGTCTGGTCAATTATATAATAACACGAGGTTAATAGAATTGGATGAAAGAACTTGTTTATCTCAACTTTGAGTAATTCAAATTGTTTTGCCGCATACTTAGGTAAAAGAGTTAAAATGGATAATATTAGATTGTACAAGAATATAAAATAAATTTCACTCAAATTTAAAAACATGATTTTTATGTAATGTCCAGTTATTTTTATCAATAAACAATAATAAAGTTAGCACATCAATGGTACATGCATAAATATGTGCAATTAGAAAAATAACTGAATTACTTGTTATAGAATAATATAAAATCATTCATAGGATTTCATCCGTTAGTTTAAATTTTTGGATTGCGATAGTTTTTTGACATGATATTAGAGTCTTGATGATCAAACAATCTTAAATTCAAATCTCACCATTCTCACTTTCTCTTCTAATTAAATAGGCATTTATAAGTTTCAAGCCTAAAAAACTTTTATTTTAAAAAATATGTTATATAGTAATATAAAATTATTTATAGAGCTTTACCCATTAATTTAACTTTTTGGATTGAAATGATTTTTTTAACATTACTAACCTATCTATTATCAGAATTGGTTACCACTCTGACAACTTTAATTATGATTGCATGATCTTGTAGTTTCTTAATATTATCTATGTATAATTTAATTGTGGAAAAACTACAATTTGATTGTTCAATTTTTTATTTTTGGGTGTTTTTTAGTATCCAATCGGTAAATTTTTTTATTTGATTGCTCAAGTTTTGATTTTTTTTTTTTTTTTTCATATTCTAGCACTTAAAATCACTTAACATTGAAAAATATCAATGTTTGAGAATGAACCATCACATGGTTCAACTAACATGTGGCAACTAAGGAATCCTACTCAGATCATTTAAAAAAAAAATCAATTTTTTTTTTAAAAAAACTACAATTTAAGTGTCTGATATTTGATTATTTTTCTGTTTGAGTCCTGAATGTTTGATTTTTTTTTCTTTTGAGTTTCTTAGTCATTTAAGACTAGAAAATAATATCCACAAAAATCGATTATTGTGGCAAAAAAAATCGATACCATTTTGATTTATTGAAAAAATAAAAAAACATTATAAAATTTTTATATAAAAAAAATCAAAATCAATTATTGTTAGCCGAATGAATTTGACAATTTTGTTAACAAATTTCTTAAACACTTTCAAGATATTATCATATAAACCTTTTATTTTCCTAATTCAATTCAGGAGCTTTAATCTTATATCTTCTAAACAATTCGAATTCATTCCCTAACGATAATTGATTTTGATTTCTTTTTTTTAATTGTTGCCAACTATTTTCTTTTGTAAAAAATTTATAATTTTTTTTTTCAGTTTTTTTAATAAATCTGAGTGAGACTCATTTTTTTCACGTGTTAGTTAAAGATTATCGTATATCAGTAATTCTGATCTTGTAAGTATTTTCCAATCTCGGGTGGCTGAGGGAAGTCAAATAGAAAAATAATCAAACTTTAGACATTCAAATAGAAAAATAATCAAAGATTAGGCACTTAAGTTGTGTGTGCGTGTGTGTATTTAAGTGGGATCTATTTTTTTCAAGTGTTGGTTAAAAACCGTCACGTGACAATTCATAGAGTGCTTCAAAGATGTGATGGAAAGCAAGACATTATTCTGCCTATAAATACCTTTCTTTCTTTCCTTCAATTTTGTCTGAATTTCATTCGCTTTCTTTCCTTCCTTCTGTCTCTTTAATTTGAGTCTGAAGTCTGAGATGGATGAAGTTGAAATATGGAAATCCTGAAATCTGTATGTGTTGTTTTAATGATGCATTGTATTCATTTACGTTTGATTTAAGTTTGAGTTCTTCTTCTTCCACAATTAATTAAAGATTGGGTTGTTCTTCTACAATTAATAACACTGCTGTTTTTACGTTTGCTATATACGGTTCACCTGTGCCTGTTTGTTGTAGCCTATAACATACTTTGTTGACTTTGGCAGCAAAAGAATGGTTGTTTACTGCCTATATATATATATATATATATATGGTTCACACCCATAGCTGTTTCTTGTAGTTTGTAACTACAAAGATACATGCTTTGATAGAATTTGGCAGACCAAAAATGTAGGTTCTTTTGCATGTGGTTGTTTCGATTCTTTTAGCTCTCTTTTTTCCCCCTTTCACTAAGCCCAAGAAAACGGTAAAAATGTTTTAATCTCAAATACAAAGTTGGATTTAGTTCAAAAATTAAAATTAATTGGGCGTATAATCTTTTTATGGAAAAGAAATACTCCAAACCTAGCCCAACTGCCTGTTAAGAAAAGAAAGAGAAAAGCTGCCACGGATAAAAGAAGAGAAAACTGGATTTTATGATGAGAGCACTTGCCCATTTGCAAGAGACACAAATCTAAATAGAGACATTAATACCGATTGAATTACCCCAAGCTACAGAACTTCAAGGACCAAATCACAAGCCACGAAATTTCAACAATTCTCTCTTTATGTAAACTTACACCACCACCCACATAACGCTAGTCAGAATCAAATGGCATAGTGTCTCAAGTAACTAGCAGTGAAAAACAATGGTTAGTTAATGTGACCATATGATTTTAAATTAAAGCCAAGGGCGCGCAAGTAAAGAATCGCAGCACTTGCAGAAACGAACTCGGCATTGAGGAAAAAAAGAAAAAAAAGTAAGCATTCTACAAGAAGAGAGACCCATTATTTACATCAATTCCTATTGCAAAGGCTTGTATTCTCTTTACAGGCAAAACCCAAGGCAACTAAAAGAAGATCACTTTCCCCTAGTTTTTGCAGTGAAGAAAGTTAGATGTCATGTATAACTTAAACAACGAAAAGATCTGAACTTGTTTATCGCATGTAAGACGAATAATGAGATCCCAAACCAAGAGGCAATGGACCAGTGTGCCGAGTGCTACCATATGCACCTTCCACTACTGCATCAGCAAATCCATAGAGATCAGAGGCTGCAGTCTGATTAGCAGTGACAGTAGGAGCATCAGCAAACCCATAACGGTCAGAGGCTTCACTCTGCTTAGCAGCGAGGGAGGGAGCATCAGCAAACCCATACAGGTCAGGGGCGGAGCTTCCATTAGCAGCAACAGCAGGCGGGGAATTAGGCTGACCAGCAAAGCCTTCTATTGATGGTGATTGTCCAAACAAACCAGATGCAGGATGCCGATATCCCACTGAACCACCATTTAGGGCAGTCACCCCAGCCCTATGCCATGCATAGAGTGGAAGATTGTCATCTATTACTTGCCCAGTCCCCTCAACTAGCATTTCCCTGCGAACTCCAGCAGATCCACCATATGCAGCTGACAGACCAACTCCACTTGCTGCTGTTGCGCCCAGAAAATTTTCAGGAAAAGGCCCTAGACCAGATCCATACACAGAAGATGTGCCAGCAGGACTATTGTTGACAAGACCAGGGAATCCACCATTCAATCGCATCATATTGTTATGTGAGCTCTGTCCATCCATGTAGCTAGCAGCTATTTGATCAGGCAACCCTACACCTGGAGAGATCAGGGGTGAACCTTTCTCTGCAAATCGTCGCCGTTTTGTTTCTTGACTCTTCCAGTAATTTGACACCTCATTCACATTTGCTGGTCTCTTAGACAAAGGCTGCTTGTTTATTTTTTTATTAAGATTAGCAATATCTTTCTCCAGCTCAATTATCTTTTCTTCAAGTTGGCAACCAGGAAGAACCTCTGTAGGGTCAAGCTGGTGTTCTTCAAGAAACTTCACCACAGATTTCAGAGCAATCAACTGCTTTTCCTTTGCTTCTTTCTGAAATTTTTTTACCATATGCCTGCACTATTAGCAAAAAAAAGAGATAGTGATTTTAAATTAAAAGTGCCAAATTGCCTGTACCTCTATGGCAGGTGAATTATTTGCTTCTCTTTTTCTCCCCTTCAATGGTTCTTTAGACTCTTGCACAATTAAAAACAATAGTTTTTGAACAGAAAACTTGTCCTCCATTCCAAATATACAAGCCACATCAACAGCTTCAACTTTCATTCCTTTCTTCAACATTCTCTCTATGATATCTGCAGTAGTCAAATTCATATGGTATGAGGTCAAACATGGTGTTGGAAAAAAAAAAAAAAAGAAAAGAAAAGAGATCGAGCAATATAATAGACAATGCATACAGATAGACAAATAAGATTAAATTTAACTTCTTGGAATTAATAAACAAAATGGCAATCACAGACAAACAAATGGATACCCTAGTCAAGTGACAAAAAGTAAGACCACATTCCCCACTTCTCAGAAACATGAATTTATCCTCAAATCCTTCGTAATAAGCACTGGTGATGCTAAACAGGCAGCACTGTTACTCTCTGGATCCATGCCTGGTAGAAGATAGTTATATTGCAGAGTTGTGGAACCCAGCACATAGAAATTGAAATCTACCTTCTCCAATAGGTACATAACAAAAAGACAGACATATCTTGCAAAGCTACTTTCCATTGGGTCATTGAATCCTTCCATTTATGTTCCACCCCTAAGCCAAGAGGCCATTTCAAACAGCATTTATACATTGAGAGTAAGTGAAGTTTTAGAGTTAGTTGATAATATTAGTTGCCTGCTCTATTTGCTTCCAAATATTTCAAGACAAGAGAATGAAGCAAGGGAAATTGCAACTAAGGTTAATAACATTTTTCTTCTCATCGTAACACGGAGAAAAAGTAATACCTCTGACTAGGAAACACTTCCACAAGGCTAAATTATAAGCAAATATAAAATTGGTCTTAACTTGCTGGTATAATAATTTAATTATAAGCATACTCTTGAGACTACTTGCATAAGAAAATTTTGATTCAGTTCTCTCACAGAGCAGTACCGTGGAAAGGTAGCAGAAACTAAATATAGCTGCAACCAACAAATAATGATGGAAAAATTATCTAAAGCAGATTGTCTCAGCGATCCTGTCATGGTATGAGATTCTCTCAAAACAGACAGACCTACTACTATAAGAAGTTCGAATTAAAGTACTGAGTATCTTGATTTCCAGCAGTAACTGTAAGGCAGCAAAAGTAAACATTCACAACCTGAGTTCATCATGGAATCACACCTTAATCTAGCCCTTTCAGTGATTGTTTTAAAGAATGATTTTCTATCAATGTAAGCAACCGCCATGTTTAAAATCTCTCCACATAGGAGATCTGTTACTGTTTAGTAAAGAAAATATAATTCATTGCTCTAGGAGCATAATTATAAACTATGAAAATAACTAACTTTAGAAGAATCTAACAACTATTATCCATACTGAATTTAGAGTCCAGTTTATCATACAAATGCTTCATTAATCATAAAAGAACAACAAATGGCGGTACGTCTTTAACAACAGACATTTAAGTAAATGAAAAGTTTGATCAAAACATGCAGCATTAAAGGTATAACATAATAGTTTTCAAGTTCCATCCTTTCCTCTCTTCCACAATATGAAGAATGTTAACTCAGCAAAACCAAATCTTCGATAATTCAAAATTAAAGCTAGTGATAGCACCAAAAACAAAATACCTGTAACCCTAGTAACAAGAAATCGCGATCTTCGAATCAAATCTGCGAACTGCCTAGAATTACTCAACTTAACCAAATCAAAAACATCCTCATCACTAAACAACTTCGGTATCCCAAACCCTCCAATTAACAACAGCAAACCCTTGGCATCAATCTCGCCGCTATTCCTCACACCACCTTCACTAATCAATCTCTTTCTCCAAGATACAGCCGCCTGTTCCGCGTCTTTCTTCACTGCAGCCTCCATTGCATTCTCACTGTCACTAATCAACAAAAAAAATTCCAAAACCAAAATCGACGCTTCTCTCCCTGTGATCATCGGAGACTCTTTCTCGTAAGCTTTACTACCTTGTAAATAAAACCTCCCTATACAATCTAACACTAATTTAGCCGGCTTCGGAGCGCATTTTAACGCTGCCGGAACTTCTTCTCGAAGCTTATCCACATTGGATAGATTCGAGACTACATATTTCCGCAACCCTCTTCCGCACATCATTTCACACAAGCTCCTTATTTCCGATTTCTCCGTTGCTGGTGCTGCCGCAGCGGTTTCAGTTTCCGTTATTTTTGTTGTTTCAGTTACAGCTACCGCCACCGAAGACGACGGTGCTGATTTTTCTGTTTGAGTTGGTTGCAGCTGCTGTGCTTTTGGTTTGAGTTCATTGGAGCGAGCGGTTATTGCGTTGTCGATGAAATTGAGGTGATTCTGCAACTCATCGAATCGTTTTTTGAAATTATCAATTGCAGCTGATAAATTGGTTAGGTCGTTAATTGATTTCAAAAATTGAGGTTCTTTGGGTGGTGATTGTGGTGGTGGTTGTGCTATTTCAATTAGAAGGTCTGGTGGCTCAGTTTTGACAATTGGTGGTTGTTGTGATGGTTGTGGTTGTGGCGGTGTTGGTGAGTGGTGTTGTTCTTGTTTGATATGGATAGGGGTAGAGTTGGAATCGAAATTAATAGCCATGGAAGGTTTGGCCATGGCGGAGAGCGAGAGGGAGAGAGAGAAATTAGTATGGCTATGTGGTGGTAAACCACTGATTTTTAATTTGGAAAGGGGAAAGCCCTAATATATTTGCAAAATATTTCATTTTGGTTGATATAGATTCCAAAATGCTGCAATATGATCCTTAAATATGTTAATGACATGAACACTTCTGTTAAAAAAAAAATGTTGGGTTTGATTCGATTTTTAAGAATTTTTGTGGAATACTGAAAGAAAATAAAATTTTAAAAATTGTAACTTTTATAATCCAAAGTCCACACTAATTATTATAAGATTTTTTTTTTTTTTCAACATGACTTATGAATAACTTATTTGATTTGGAATAACAATTAAAAGAATATTTACTATAAACAACTTATAATAAAACAGTTTAATCGTTTAATTAAATAGTATTGATTTCGAATCTTTATATATATAGAACTCCTTAATTAGTTTTATCTATCATGTGTGTCCAACCAAATAGCTAAGAAATTAATTTGAGATTTTGAGCTTGGGATATCCTGGAAATCCAAAAATAAAAATGCTGAAAATGGAACTAATAAATGAGCTTGGAAGCTTAATTTTTGAACCAAGATTTGACTCAAATTTTAAAAATAATTTTTTAATTAAGTGATAAAAAAAAAAAAAAACTATTTAAAACTAACATATTAATAACTTTTCTTAATCAAAACTCAAAAAAAAAAAAAAAAATGAAATCAAATTAATTTATAAAGATGATGCGAAATGCATAGTGAGTTTAGATGGATACCTTAATCAAAATATATTTACATTGGCAAAAGCTTAACCATCTTCCGAACTCTTCAAAACTCACAGCAGTTATCCAATTTTTTAGGTCACTTTCTTTCAAGATTTAACTTGTATTGTGAGATAACATGAATATGAGATATTGGAGAAAACCAAACAGAAAGAATCAAATCAATCTCATTGCTTTCCTCCAATTCTCACATCCATAAACCACATTAAAATCCAAACCCTAACCTTTTTGTATTACACACATTTATGCATGAATGTCATACATAAGATGTTGGAAGAAATTAAACAAAAAGCACAAAATAATGTCGATTTATTTAGCTTCGTCCAATTCTCACATAATGACATCGACATGGGATTAATGCATGTCTAAGAAGATCATAAATGACAAAGCCGAAGATGAGATATTGGAGAAAATTAAACAAAAATTAGTAAAATTTCCAATTTGTTTAATTCCCTCCAATCCTCACGTTCGGCTTCTTCACTGGCTGGAAATCTATTTTAGTGAAAACTGGACATGAAATATCGGAGGAAACTAAACAGTAAGCACTAAGCAGCGAGAAAGAAAGAGTGCCAGTGCCCGCCAACTCTTTAGTTTCCTCCAATTTTCACGTACAATATTTACACTCTTGAATCTGTCTAAGCTTCAAATTCGACCTCTCCTCAGTCCTCACTCACTCTGCTTTGCTTCGTTGATGCACCAATCAAACCAGTCTCAAGGTATTTATAGACTGTCCCAAGGAACCAAGTAGTACTACTTCACAATTTTCATGCAGAGAACCAATCAAGATCGCATGCTTATAAGAAATTAGAAAATCAGAACAGCAAGATCTGCATGCATTTCGATTCTATTTCTTTGGTCCAAATAACAAAGTCTGCCTGACACTCTGACAGGCTTGCACGAAAGATTGCGATGCTGGAACAGCCTAGTCATGCAGTTCCAAGAGAAATATCAAAGTCATTGGGTTTTATTTGAAATGGGCCGAGCCCAAAATGTGCAATGGAGCCCAAAATTTACAGAGTGCAGCCCACGCTAGCTCATAAAATACCTTGCTGTGATAACATAATGCTTATCTTAGTGAAAATACTTTCTGAAGAATGATAAAAAGTGGTAAATGATTTTCCGAAACTAATGGAATTTAAAGACTAATTATAATGATTTAATTATTTACAGTTGAATCAAATAATCATCTGTAGTGAGTATACAAAACTTGTTGAATATATACGGATATTATATACCATTATGAAAAATAAAATTAGATACCAAGTTACTAGAAGGCTGACGTTGTATCAGACAACTGCATGCTCCGATCTGACCAATTTGAGACAACTGGGCTGCCTGAAGCATCCATATCAATGAAAGCCGTATCGCCAGGCTTACACTGTCCGGCAAGGAATGCTTCACTCAAGGGGTTTTCGATTATTTGAGTAACAGCTCTCCTAAGAAGCCGGGCGCCGTGAAACTTGTCGTAGCCTTGCTGGCATATAAGATCTTTGATTGATTGTGACACCTCCAACCCAATTCCAAGAGATATCAGCCTTTCTTTCACCCCTCGCAGCATAAGATTCAAAATCTGGAGCATCTGAAAAAAAAGAAAAAAGAAAAAAAAAGGATGATGTAAAATAACTATTTTTGAAGTCTAGTGGTGTTGATGTTTGCACAAAGCCACATAGTCCTAGGTGATTCAGATTCACTAAAATCAAATTTGTAAAAGGTGAGTACGTGCCCATGCAGGCTCACACACCATAAAGGAAAAAAGAAAAGAAGAGACCAAGGGCTTGTAAATGGGCACCAAGTGATATAACTCAGGGCCTCCTTATCATATAGGCTTTCATAGCAGGAAAACATATCGTAGGCAACAAATGTCACAGGAGTTCATGAAAAAAAATATATAACCAAAAAAGAAAGCTGACAAACCTGAGACTTCTCAAGGGGATGGAATACCACAACTTCGTCTATCCTGTTGAGCAACTCTGGACGAAAATATCCCTTGAGTTCTTCCATTACCAATGCTTTTATCGCAGCATATGAAGAATTCTCATCATCTGCAATCATGAAACCAATGGAGGCGCGTCCACCCTTTGCAATGGCAGCAGAACCAACATTTGAGGTCATTACTACCAAAGCATTCTTAAATGATACCCTCCTTCCCTGTAAAACCCAATCTTTCTATGATAAGAGACTAAATGGAGGTATCAATTAAGGGAAAAAAAAATGAACAGGAAACTTGACTATTGTGAAATCTTTAATTGATGAAATTATATTTGTCTTGTCTCACGCTCAAGATAATTTGCGATGCCAATATTTTTATCAAAATTTTTATGTGAAACAAATGTATTACAGTTAATACCAACCTGAGAATTTGTAAGGTGGCCATCTTCAAATATTTGGAGGAGAATGTTGAATATATCTGGATGGGCTTTCTCTATTTCATCAAGCAAAACCACCGTGAAAGGCTGTTTTCTAATAGCTTCTGTCAGAATGCCACCCTCACCATAACCAACATAACCTGGAGGTGCTCCTATTAACTTGCTCACAGTGTGTCGTTCCATATACTCACTCATGTCCAATCTAAGCATGGCTGACTCCTGCAACAATAATGTCAGGCAAGAACCAGAAGAGAAACAGAATTTTGAACCAAAGAAATAAGGATTCTAAACTACTCTTTTAAAGACAGCAATCATGTCAGAGTAGTCAAGTTACCCCAAAAGTGACATACAATTCCCCAAAATATTCCAATTTGAATTTGTCCATTGCATTTGTTATTGACTCCAGTCACTATGTTATAAACCAACATAGTGTGGATTCTTCTATGCAATAGTTAACATCTAAGAGACATGTTATTATAAAGAACATAGTATTTTCTTTCAACTGTTAATAGCAGAGAAATCCTGCATTGGGTCATATCAAAATAGCCAAACCATATAAAAAAGCAAAACTATCTTTTAAAGATTTTAACAAAAAAGTTTGTCTAGTATAATTTGAGGCCTTACTGATCCAAAATAACTTCGAGCCAAAGCTTTTGTTAGTTCAGTCTTGCCAACCCCAGTTGGACCGCAAAACAGCATTGCTGCTATGGGCCTATCAGGATCCTTCAGGCCAACACGGGATCTCCTCACAGCTCGAGATATTGCAGCAACAGCCTCATCTTGACCAACAACTCGTTTTCTGAGCTCCTCTTCGAGGCCCACCAGAAACATTCTTTCATCAGCGGTCAGCTGCTGAACTGGTATCCCAGACCAGAGTGAAGCAACTGCTGCTATATCGTCAGGCCCCACAACGGTAGGTCTGAAAAGAATCACAGTTAGAAATTTATTAAACTAGAAATGAGTGTTTTATAAAATGCAGGCCAGCTGCTTTTATCCCTTAACAGAATTTTAGGGGCAAACAACATACTCATCATCATTTGATGCAGGAGGCAAACGAGACTCTAAAGTAATTTCTCCAGTGCCATCCATGCTGGAAGTACTGTCATCATTTGTCAATCTGCTTGCCATAACCTGCTTGTATTTGTTAGACATGAGACAACTGACAATGCTATTAACAGATCGTGAAATTATGTAACTGTACCATGATAACCATATGAACAAATTTATTACCACTTCATGCATGGCCTGGACAGTTCTAATTTCTTGCCAATAATCATCTGGTGACTTTGAAAGTATAAAGGTTTGCTGTTCTTTCTTCCTTCTATAGGCCTCAATACGAGCTCTACTTCCTGCCTCATCAATGAGATCAATAGCTTTATCTGGAAGATACCTATCAGCAATATATCTTGCTGACAGGTCCACAGCAGCATGTATAGCTTCCTGTGTGAAACTGCAGTTGTGATGGGCCTCATATTTTTGACGCAGACCCAACAATATCCTAACTGCATCCTCCTAAAAATTTTTACACAATGTTGAAATAAGACTTGGGGAACAAATAACACCATACACAAAAATAAATGACAGTAAATATTTGAAATCAACCTGGCTTGGCTCATTAATCAACACAGGCTGGAATCTCCTTGCTAATGCTTTATCATTTTCAATATGTGTTCTGTATTCATCAACTGTTGTGGATGCAATACACTGCAAGAAATCCACAAATGGTTCAGACACAAAAGATACAAGTAAATTCCTATCAGAACCGAAAATTGGAGAGATCACTGTTTAGACATACAAAGAACTCCTATCTGCTCTGTTCGCTCAGCTTGATCATTTAACTCAAACTATAATATTCCAACAGTGAAGATATTATGGACCCAAAACTACAAAAAAAGTTAATCGAAGGACAAACTGAAATGACACTAAAAACTTAACTAAAAGACATCGGTATCAAAATAATGCACAAGGGACTTGATTTGGTTAGGTGCCATCCTCATAACAACTCTGTAATTAAAAAAATAAAAATAAATAAAGAGATGCTTGCTTGCTAACTACAGTGTTGGCCAGGAAAAGCTAGGGCAGCAATATCCCATTTTTAAGAGACCAGGAACTCTGGAGAGTTCAAATGGTCTTTGAACTTAGCTTGTAATAAGGAGCATTGACAATAATAATTTGCCTGCTTGAGGTCATTTTACTAAACTCAAAAACCCCTTTGGGTGTCGACTTTTCAGGTAAATAAGTAAACTTCAGTTGTTCAGCGCTCTACATTTTCCCAAGGCAATTATGTAATTTTTTAACCGGCAGCCACACTGTTGCCCTCCTCTTTCCATTTTAACAAATTCTGCTTGTATCAAACCACCCCTTGAAACTTTCATAGGTGGCATTTAGCATCTCGGACAAAGTTGTATAATATGCTTAAACAGTAGGAATTTATTCACATGAACATATAAGAGAAAAGCATAACTAATATGAGAAATCACCTGTAATTCACCCCTCCCAAGAGATGGCTTCAATAAATTAGCAATGTCAAGACCAGATCCCTTGTTCCTTCGTCCAACAGTGCCAGTCCCAACTAGTGTGTGCACTTCATCAATAAAAAGAATGATATTACCTGCAAGTACACATATCATGTTTGAGCAACAATGAAATCACTCTCTTTCTATATGTAATTCAAAATGTAGCCACCTTCTTTCAGTATCTCTCTTATTAATGAAGTAACACGTGCCTCTAGTTCTCCCCTTTCCTTTGCACCAGCAATTAACAGTCCAACATCCAAGGACATTACACGTTTCTCCTGTGTATAAAGCAAGAAGCTAAGCAAATTTCCAAAACAGAGCTTTCTTAAGGTACGCATAAACAAAAACGTCTGGATTATAGTACACCATTTAAAGAACCACCAGAACAACAGTTTGGTCAGAAGAAGGATACCAGGAGAAACACAGGAATGTCAGCCTGTGTGATACTAATTGCTAATCCTTCAGCAATGGCTGTCTTTCCAACTCCACTTTCACCAAGAAGAATGGGGTTATTTTTCGTTCTACGGCAAAGTATCTGAACAATTCTTTCAATTTCAGAGTGTCGACCAATAACCGGATCAATGAGTCCTTCACTTGCTCGGGCAGTAAGATCCACACAGAATTGGGCCAATGCGCTTTTGTCTGGCAAACACAAACAAATTGCAAACCATTCCACTCAATGAGTCAGTTCTAGCTATTACAAAACTACAAAAAGATACTAAGAAACCAGAATTCTTGCCTCTTGATTTCTCAGAGTATCTCAAAGCAGCAGCTTTCTTAGAAACGGATTTGTCGTGTTTTCCTTCGGATTCTACAGGTGCTTCTCTCCCATCTTTCACAAGCTCCCCTTGAAGTTTGGTGACTGCTATAGCAGCTAAGTGATCACCATCTGCCCCTAATCTAAAAATCACATTCATTTAGGCCCACAAAGAAAACCAAGTAATGTTCATCAATGCATGCAATCGGCATCACTCAAACCTAACTAAGCCAATATTTTCATATCCTACAACATTTTGTCAAATTTAAACCTTAATATTCATATAGTAAATTAGCTTCTTCTGCATTGCTTTCTAGGATTACACATTATCAGCTTGCTTAAGCTTAACAAAACATGTTAGCCCATCACTGTATTCAGTTATGACTACAAACAATCACCAAAGAATCTTCATTAGCAAGAAAAAAAAAAACTAACCCTCGATAAATGTACAAAAATGAAAAGACATTCACAATTAGAACTAGTACCTCTTAAGAACCCGGCCGGCACTTCCATCATCAACAGTGAACAAACCAATAGCTATATGTTCTGGTGCAATAAAATTATGACCCATAGTCCTTGAATACTCAACAGCAGCCTCAAAAACCCTTTTACTGCTAATAGAAAAAGGCACATCACTATGGGAAACACTACTCTCTCCTTTAGAAACTGACTCACTAGCATCAACGCTATCATTCTCGCTATGCCAAATACTTTTAACAACTTCACGAGCTTTATCAATCTTGATTCCTGACCCAAGAAACCCTTTCGGATCACGATCTTCACCAATTAAACCCAACAAAAGATGCTGAGTAAAAACCATATCTTTGCCAAAAGCTCTTGCTTCTCTCTGAGAAAAAATAACAGTTTTTATTGCTCTCTCTGTAAATCTCTCAAAAACAGCAGAAACTTGATGAATTCTACTTTTTTTGCTGGAATTAAAACGTTTTAACAACAGGGTCTTCTTGTTTTGGTGCCTTTGTGAGATTGAAATGCCAAAACAAGAAGAAAATGAAGAAGATATTGTGTTATAGTTGTTAGACTGAAAGGAAAAGCTAGCATCTTTTCGTTTTTGAAGTGAATAAAAATCCAGTCTTGAATGAACTGATAGAGGAGATGATGAAGACAGTAACACCTCCATTTTTTTCCGGTCTCAACAAATGGTTTCTTGATTGATTGATTAACAGTTTCTGTACAACAAAATTTTGATTGAACCCAGATAAAAAGGAGCTTCTTTTTGAACTTGGGGATCTGTTAAATCGTGATAGAAGAGGCAAAGAAGAGAATATAAGAGAGGAAGGAGAAAGGAAGGAATGAAATAGAAGGGAAAATTGAAGGAAGGAAGGGTTGGTTGACACGTCAAGCCACCATAGCCACTTTTTCACGTTTTTCTTTTCTTGATTTTCTTTTGTGGAACATAGTACTGTTTTTATACGTTAAAAAGTCTACTTTCCTTGCTGATTAAAATGAAAGTTAGCCGGTGCCAAAGCCCTGGTTGCACACGGAATCCAAGATGTTGATTGAGCCATGAACCAGTTTGCATGATGTCTATTTCATTGCCCTCTGTGTCCGGGAAAGACAGTTTAGCACATGTACTTGCTTATGTAAACAGTAACTTGTCGGTTGACTACAGGGAAATGTTTTTCCCCCCTTTTATCAATGAAATGTGAGTGTTAATTTCCATTAACAACCATGATATCGACTTTACAAATCTATTGTAGGTCTAGAATCCGGTTTATAAAAACGGTCATACCTCTAAGCCGTTAAAAAAAATAAAAGAAAAAAACCTAAACATTAAATATGATTCACATTTGTGAATTGGGATAGAAAGGGGAGAAAGTTCTTCGGAATAGAATTTCCTCCAAAATGGGGGCAAGTTCAAACTGAAAATGGAGAAAATTCAATTGATTTGCAAAAGGAAAGTGAGAAAGAGAGAATATATCATTATCAACGTGAAGTCTTAAATAACTGGAAGGAAAATTCATAGGCAGGTGCCAAAAGTTGGTAGCCGCTAATCATGTGCAAAAATTCTGCCAACTTCCTCATCCATTTAGTACTAACAATAATTCAATCAAGAGAGAGAAAAAAAACAAGAAAGGACTACTACATTCAAATCTTTTGGGAAACTAATGGCAGTGCATTGTTGTGCAGATTTATTTCTTTGCACATAAACAGGTCAAGATTTCATAGAAAAAGAAAAAGGAAAAGAAAATCAAAATCCTCATTTCAAACGAATCTGGTAACTGTCGAACAATCTACAGTATATAAAACTAATTTTAATGTAATAATATGGGGATAAAAAAGGTTTATAATCTTATTAAAGTCAACAAATTGATGACTTTGGTTACAAGCTGGCAAAGGACAATGGAAGTTCGGCTTCACTTCCAGCGGAGCTCTTTGATGTTCCAAATTATTTATACATTGAATGATTACAAACCAGGAATCAGTGACAGGCCAGATGGGCCTCTTTTGAATCGAATCTTCAATGTTTCCTTTGGAATGAGATTCTTCTACCTTTGGTTGTCCTACCCTCCAATGCTCATTCTATAGCAAAATGTAAGGTCTTGCCAAAACACTTCCAAAGTCAGCTCCTCGTACCAAAAACTGGGGTACTAGGGTTCCAAAGCCCCCGGTTCACCAGTAGTCCTTACACGAGCAGGTACCTCCTTGAAAGTGATGGAACCGATTTGCATCTCTTACAATGATCTTTCGTTGATAAATGTGGGAGATAAACTTGAAAGCTGAGTGACAATCATTGCAAACACGAAGATTCTTTGTTACCCGAATTACCATTCCTGGGTCTATCTTCAGAATACCAAAAGCTACTGCTAGCTTCTCACTGTGATAGTTTAACATGTGCTCCTTATCTTCCTCTTCCACATCATGTAGAGCACACGATAGATCTGGTACATACCCAGCCATCTTCATCTCAATTGCTAGGCTTTCCAGCTTTTGGTAAACTTCATGCCTGTAAGGATTTTCTTGGTCAGCTGTGTGAAACCCAAGAATATCTTTACCATACTCGATCACACTAAAGGCTGCAGGTTTCTTTAATCCTTTATTCTTCATATCTTGCCTCAACTTCCCAACTTCTTGCCATTTGTTTGATGCTGCATATATATTAGACATTAGCACATAGTATCCTGTATGGTTTGGCTCAAGTTGGAGTAGATTACTAGCTGCAATTTCCCCTAATTCCATGTTCCCATGGATTTTGCAAGCTAGCAGCAGAGCACCCCATACTCCATCACTTGGAGGTGATGGCATTTCCTTAATCAGATCAAATGCTTCCTGCAAAAACCCGGCTCGGCCAAGCATATCGACCATGCAAGCATAGTGTTTAATCTCCAATGTCTCAGATAGCCTTTTCATATCTGCAAAACATTTCCTACCTTCATCAATCAGACCTGCATGGCTGCAAGCAGAAAGAATTGAAGTGAAAGTGATGTGGTTTGGCTCGACACCTTCTTCCTGCATTCTTGAAAAGAGTCCTAATGCTTCTTTCCCATGTCCATGCATGCCATACCCCGAAATCAAGACATTCCAAGAACTAGCATTCCGTTCGCAGGGATGAATACCATTGAACAAATCCACAGCCTTTTCCAAGTCTCCACACTTAACATACATGTCCACCAATGCATTTGAAAGATTTGTGTTAATTTCCATTCCGCTATCAATGATAAAATCATGGAATTTCCTTCCAACATGGCAGGAACCCAAATAAGCACAAGCTGAAACCATGATCAATGCGGTAACGGGACTAGGCTCACAATCCGAATCACGCATCTCTTCAAAAAGTAATAGAGCTTCACTGGCTTGTCCGTTTTGAGTGTAACCTGAAAGCATAGAATTCCATGAGATAACATCTCTTTCCACCATCATATCAAAAACCAAACGTGCCTTTTCCATATTCCCGCATTTTGTATGCATAGCTAAAATTGAGTTACCTACACATAATTCTTCAATCAATGATTTACGAACAGCATAACCATGAACTGATTGAGCGTTCTTAACATCTCCTAATTGACCAACAGCAGAGGCAACACTCACTATAGCAACCGAATCTGCTAGAAGACCCTCTTCTTGCTGCATCTTTTTGAACAAAATGAGTGCCTCCTCAGGCTTCTCAGCCTTTTCTAAAGCAGTTATCATTGCTGTCCAACAAACTAAATCCTTCATAGACATTTCGTCGAAAATCTTGTGACAATCAACAAAAAGGCCACATTTTGCATACATATCTACCAAAGCAGCCTCAACGTATAAAACCGAACCGAACCCATTTTTTAAAGCATCTCCATGAACAACTTTCCCTTCACGAACCAACAAATTCAAAGCACAAACTTTGAACACGAATGGGTAAGTGTAATTATTCACAAAAATGTCAGTTCTACGCATAAAAGAATACAACTTTAACGTTTCAAAACATTGACCAGCATTTGCATAGGCCCTAATCATAGTATTACAAAGGAAAGAACTGGGTTTTTCACAAGCAACATTAATGTTATCGAACAGTAATCTTCCACTGTTAAGGTCATCAAATTTTGCATATTTGGTGACAATCTGGGCACCCAAGTGAAGGCTTTTAGTGATAAGGCTAGTGGTTGTGAGAGCTGAGTGTATTTGTTTGAGAGAAGATAACCCAACACAGGATTTTAAGAGATGGTCATAAAAGATTTCTGTGGAATTAGGAGAGTAGCTAAAAGTGGAGGATGAGGTGAGTGAATATAGAGGAGATAAAGGGGTTAAGAGAGGTTTATGAGAGAGTAGTGATCCCAACCGGTGCATTCCTGTGTTTGTTACGAGAAGAGAAACGTGGATGTTTTATCTATTTCTACTTTTCTACGACAATTAGGCCTTTGTAACATTCTCGAATCAACTTGTGACATCTTTCCATTCTGGTTAAAGACAAGCTATTCATTCTGGATAAGGAAATTCATAAGAAATTCACCTGTTAAGGCAAATCCAAATTGATTTTTGCATCAACGCCAAATGCAGAGAATAGCACAGGTCTGTCTTGACAATATTTACTATCAAGTAAATTAAGATCTTACATTTTATTTTTATTTTTTTATTGAAAGAAAAAAAATTACAAATCATTAACAAATACAAGTACATGGAATGAACCACCTATAATGACATTATTGACAACAACCCTATCAAATTTAACCTATACACTCACTAAACTCTGTTGCCTATCTGAATTGGACAGGCCAACACTATGCTCAAACTCTCCATTATTAGCCTCTCTCTGCATTTGTCTAATTTCTATACAGCAAATTTTGACAACAAATCTCTGTTTTCTTTCTACTATTAGCAGTTTTCTGTGACTCAACGGGAATCTATCTCAAGTTACCAACATTTCTCTTAAATTTACTAGGGTTACGCTCCTATAGCTGAAAAATCTTTTTGCATCTGGATTGGAGATCAACAGCTCTGAGATGAATCAACCTGGATCCATAGCATCTCAGCATAAGCTTTCTCCTCTTCTTTCTCCTCTACAACGTAATCAGTTGCCTCGACAGCTTCGTCCTCTTCCTCAGGAATCTCTTCTATCACTTCTTCTGCTATGAGTTCGTCTCTCTCTAGCTCAGTAAGTTCAGTTAATGCCTCTCTCATAGCTCTTGCTGTTGCTGGTCGATCTGTGAGTCCGTACTTTGGAGCTGGGACAACAAATGGCAAAACAATATCATCCAAGTTAGCACAATCTTTGTTAGTGATGGCCTTTGTCTCTGTTGGAGGGAAGGTGAAAATGATCCCAAGTTCATAGTTAGAAACATGAAGCCTTGAACTCAAACGAGTGTTGGTTTTCCCAGGTTCCTTCGATTTCAAACCGAATGGATTGGAGATTACTCGTCCCCATGCAGCAGCACTGAAGTTATGTGACCCACAATAAACCCAACCAAAAGAAGATGCATCTGTCTTAGACTGGAAGCGTCTCCGAGCCACCTGTTTACAATTTTCTCTTTCAGTTTCTTAATATATAACAATTTCAATAGGCACTATAATACGGACGATAATTGCCAAGAACTAGTATGCAAAAACAAAATATGGAGAACAGGAATTTGAGAAGTGTATGATCAATGAAAATTATAAAGGTGCCACCAAGAATAGGAGATGATCGAGAATAAATCGATTATGCAGCATGAATTATGTATATTTCTCAACCTATGAGAGAGAGAGAGAGAGATTTCACCTTGACATGCATTGGGCAGCCTTCTCTATCGGAGGGATGCGGAACTGCATCATGAAGTATGTCTACGCATCTCAACCGCTGCCATGTTTTCTGTTGTAGCAGAAAAGACAGGGAAAGGGAGGGGAAATATAGAATAAGTGCAACCTTCTCAGATGAACTATTTACAAGTGGGATGACAGTGTAGCATATACAGTATCCACATGTGACATAACATATTTAGAAGCAGATCAAAAGACCACTGTACCTCTGAGAAGCAAAGAATGCGTCTCGACGGCAAGATCCCGTTGCAGGCATTCTTCACTCTCTCAATTGTAGGGAAAATAATCCCAATTGATGGATTTCTCAACTCTTGGCTAGCACTCCAGCAGCCCCACTGGTGAGGAATCAATGAACAAGTGAATCCAAAAAAAACATGACTTCAGTTTTCCTCTGCAGTTGCAGCAGAACATTCATATTACCTCTGGATCAGATTCTTCAGAATCAAAGAGTTGCAATGATCGTTTTCCAGCAGCTGCTGAAAACGCAGCCAGAAATTGTGCATTGATAGATCCAATTGAGGACGAGCCTTGAGAACAGGATGAGCATCAGAAAAGAGAGAAAGAAAATCAACTCTTCAAATTCTGGTGAAGACTTAGGATTGTGTGAGAGACACTCACCATAGATGAAATCAGATTGTTGAGACTCAGGCCATTTGTACTGACCTAGAACCTTGTAGGAATGAAAAAGAAAATCATAAGAAATCACAAATAATAATGTAAGAAAAACATCCTAGTCAGCACTACCCAATCTAACTATTAAAGTTCGCAAAATCCTATGATACTTGGGAAGGGTTTTATGTCCATCACTAAGATGCAGTTCAATATGCTTCTGTGTCAAATGTAGAGACATGTAGAGAAGTGATGCATGTGGTATATTACATTACAAATTTGCAGTGCTCTTTTCACCAAACCTCATGGACAAAATGACATCCCAGAAGCTAGTTCTGAGGGTGCAGATGAAGACAAACATTTCTAAGCATATGCACAAATGATCAGGAATAGGAGTGCAGTTAAGAGTTTATCACAGGTAGTTGTGGGACAAAATATTTATCATCCTAAGAACTAAAACCTGCATTTCTTCCGAATTAAATGCTATTACCTCTTCCATTCGCCAAAGGCCAGTACACCTCTGAACTGAAGCAACAAGAGAGCAAAATGCAAGAACATGTTCAGTTTGCATCAACCTCATCATATCTGGAAAGCAAGGCCCCTGGACAAGCCATCAATATCATTTATATAGACCACACCAAAATGGAAACATGCAACATTCTTTAGCACAATCAATGACAGAAATAACATGCCTGTGCCACATGTAGTATCAGATGCACTCTCATGTTGCTTTCTCCTAAGGCAGCAGCGAGGGCTTCTTTAGAATAAACATGTCCAGAGAATCTGAAGAATCCACTATCCCACAATGGAGATACCCACTTGGCAACATTTCTAGGCAGAAAACCAAGTTGAATACAATCTAGTGCTAGAAATGAAACAGCATAACTCAGTCTAATACCCTACCATAAAAGGGCAGGCTATAAAAGGTCCCAATTGCATGATCGTTGTATCCTCAAAACACAAAGGACAAGAAAAAAAGTTCACTTATTATTTCGGAAGCTAACAGAATGAAATCACAAACTCCAACAGGCATGCACACAATGAGAGCAAGGATGGAGAAACAACCAAAGCTGAAAGAAGACCAATGCTAGATGTAAAACATTTAGAAACTAAATACCTTAATACATTTGGACAGAGAAAAATGTTAGAGACTCCAGAATGGCATAAACAGAAAAGCACCGTAATGTCAGGAAGCCCTAGATTCAGGCAAGTGACTTCACGGCCAGGGAGAGATAGCCATGCTAAACTCAAGAACCATGCATATTGGGAGGAGAAATTTTTTCCTGAAGGTTTGATATAAGTTGGAGATAATCTCATTTCAAAGAGGAAGATCATTTGTATTACTTATTGACCTATATGGGCTATATTTACCCGGTATGTGAAATGCAGAACAAGGTTTTCTCCTGGCACGTAAAACTTTTTTGGCAAAACTTTAAAAGGCATACTAATCTTACAGCTACACTTCACAAAACATTATAAGCATCTATCATCAGAGAAACAAAAACAAAAAAAATGGAACAAAAAAAGCAGGATAAAGGTTTAAAATCAAACAATGGGCTTCACCTCCTTCCGAAAATTGGTCAGGATTAGAAACCAGAACGCTCACGGCATTCACATCTGCAGGCACATTGAGGTTTCTTCTCAAAACAATCTCCGACATCCCATATGCATTTTCACAGCATTTCCCGAGGAAAGCAGCCAGTTGCTTAAGCTGCATGCCATTTCTGTCAGCTGCAGTGTGAAAAAGGTGGCTTAATCCAACGACAGAAGCTTCAACTGAGCCAAGGAACTGCACACCAGATGGCTTTAGTGGCAACTGATAAGCCTGAAAAAGGAGTTAAATGGTGAAATATATGAATCCATCAAACAGAGCACCTTTCCTTAAGACAAGGCAAAAGGCAAGTCTCAGTTATTAATGGCTAATATTCAGACTCCGACTGCCAATAAGACATCAACATAACAATCACAAATCTGCTTCCACTGAAAAGAAAATTTAACACATTTCATGCATGCATGCATCAGAAAGAAAGATACTCACATTGGGAGATCTGCAGGAATGGATCCCTGGTACTGAAGCAACTAGATGTCCGTTTGCCCCTTCAAAGTTGTATTTTGTCAACTCAGAAATCCAATAGGCCTGACTAGGTACATCAATCACAAGGGATGCCATGAAGCCAGCCAGCTGAGCAGCAAAATCAGATCTTGAATCTTTATTTGTTTGTCCATCATAAACTTGAATGAAAAGAGATGAAAGGTCAGGTGCACTTCTTGCAGGAAAATCTTGCCACCAAATTGTGTTGGTCACATTATTCCACTGTAAACAATAATGAACTGGTGTATAACATTGTTTTGAATTTTCCAAACATGTTGTGATTTGCCAGATAAATTAAAAAATAATCAATTAAGTAATAAATTTAAAGAAACAGAGCCAAACTAGCATGATCCAATGAGCATTAGCAAGGCTTTCCTTCAAATGGTGACAAAAAATTCTAATCATATTAAAATTTCTGGGACACTGCCAAGTTCATTGCATTATAACACGTGACAAATATGTGATATTAGATTGTCTCATCTGCACAACAAATGAAGTAGATCACTAGTACAAGAGACACCAAAAGTAAACCCAAACTTCAATCATCAAGAATGGCCCGGATTTCTGAGGTTTATTACACTCACACAAAAGGGTGGTACATCCCAAAGCAAGTTATGTGATGTTAGTGCTGAGATGCTCCCCCCAGCTTCCCAATCAGGCCAAAAAAAAAAAAGAACTATGCTTTCTATAAAACAGTAAAGGAAGCCATGGAATCAAAACTTTTCAAATGCAACCACCATTCAGCTGACCACATTAACGAGTCAATTTCAAATCCAGTATTGTATGCATCCACATTCCCTTCCATATAAAAGAGAACATTTCATTTCGTGTTTATGAACACCTTATAACTTATTAAAAATGACCTTAAATTAAGTAACAACCTGATTTGACACTAAATTTGCAGAAGTAATGATAATGCGAATGCTATCTTGTCTTTGCAAAACAAGCAATTTTGGATGATGGCAAGCAATCCCCTGTCTCTTGCGGTCTTGACCAAATGCTATAGCCTCAGGGAATGGGGGAAACCTATTATAGAAATTGGACCAAATTGCAGAAAGATTAACAATTAACATGCTAAAACATTTTGCATGGCCTTAACCAACTAACAAAGAACATTAATGAAATGGGTAGATGAAACAACTGCTTACACTACAACTAAGTTTGGAAAATCCGAGTAAGGCACAGAGATTCTATTTTCAGGGCTGGAACTCCAACATCTCTCAGTGTTATGACATGCAATTGTCACTGGCAGATGGTGCGGAATCTCACAGTATGATAAAAACCTGTGAAAACGGCTTCTTTAGACTTGATGACAGATATAATCAAATGTACTAATTAAACATTAAATTGTATCAATTTCAAATGGAAAACTATAAATGAATCCATTCACCACAACGGCAATGATTGAGTAGAGAAATAGCCAGTTGTTTTAAAGTTGAATTTGAAGTTGTAAAATCTATTGCATGTATAAGCTCACTACAAAATAATGGATTACTAGTCTCAAGATTTTCAACAGGAATGAATACTCGAACATGAAGCAAAGCAACAGAAAAGAATTGGTAACTTTACCATAAAATATCGCTAGTAAATGTTGCAATGAATATTCTTGAAATGCTTTCAACAGGACAGAGAAGTTCTGGCAAAGAAATGACATCAGGATGGCTGAATGAACCGCGGTCCATTAATTGTAGACGATTCAGGTAAAACTTCTTCCCAGGTGGCGGATAGAAGTTTTTCCAAGAGTTCATCTGTATAAAGCTGTTGGCACCAGGTGCATAATCATTAGCCACAGTATTCAATGACGAAGTCTTACAAGTATTGTCAATACAACTCTCAGAATGGACTGTAGCAACGTCTTTTTGATGCAAATGGTCACCTCCGATACAAACACGGTCTCTCCCACTCTTTGCTCTAGCAGTTTGGATATCCTGATCAATTTGCAGGTTATGATGCTGTGGTGCTTCATCCCTGACTGCTAGCACCCCACCATTTATCTCCTTTTCCCCTTGAACAAGGGATTTACTTTTATCACTTACAGCAACACCAACAGAGTAGTTTGATTTGTCAACAAAAATACAAGGCACATCCATTCCAGTATCTGATAAATTGCATTGCAAAATATAAGATATGGGGTCATCACTACTCAACACATCTCTACACCGACTCGACAGAAATCTGGCTCTCTCAATAACACCCCCACATTTCTGCTTCCGAAAATCAAAATCAGGAACCATGACCTCATCTCCCTGGATAGCAAAAACCCTTTTGTTTCTACTCCCACTGGACACTGATCCTTGCGATTGTCCTGCTGAATCAAACAACCAATCTCGCTCCAACCAAACCTCATTCAACCCCGTAACAACCTCCTCCTTAAAGACAACCCCTTTAATCAAAAACCCAGTTCGACCCCCTAAACTACAATCTCCCTCATTACCACAAACAAGCAAAACCTCATCTCCTGCACACAATTCCCTCACCATCCCATTTTCCAACCTAACCCCATTAACAAAAACCCCATTCAATGAAATCCTAAAACTAAAATCCCTATTAAATCCCTCCATTTCCAATTCAGGATCCTCAAAATAACTTAGCCTTCTCCTAAATTCACTAACAATACAATTATTTTCACTATTGTTAACAGCATTCGGTAATAAAACACCATCATGTATGTAAATTTTGCGTTTATAACTATCAAATAAAATCTGACAATGTTGCTTACTCACAAACCGATTTTTGAACTGAAAATCACCAATTCGACCAATAGTGTAAAGCCGGTCCGGTTCTAGACTGATTGAAATGAGAGGTGAACCGGTGAGCGGTGAAATTAAAGGGACATTGAAACTTCGGATGTGAATTAGGGCTGATTTGGTTATTTGCTTGGATTTTTTGTGCAAAGTTGAGGATTTTGATGAAGGATTCTCATTTTCCTTCCTTTCAATTGTTCTTTTTTTATTGGAAGGAAAATTTGAATCCTTCATGGTAGTAAAGGATTCTGCTGTTGTTTTCTCTCTGTGTGTGTGATAATTGTGGACTGTGATTCTGTGAAAGGAATTTTGAGTTTGGGTTGCTTACGATTTTCCCTCCTCATTGGAAACGGGACGGATGTCAGTTTTGTGAGGGTGTCGTCGACTGCACAAGGTGATGTCGTTTTTACGGGTACGGGTAACGGGTATGTAGAGGATGTGTAGGGTTCCAACCTTGAGGTTTTATATAACTGGGCTTAAGCCCATTTGTCCATTTCAAATGCACTTTCCTGCCTTGGAAAAAAGAATGGAAAAAAAAAAAAAAAAAGAAGAAAGAAAGAAGAAAGAAAGAAAGAAATAAAAATCGTTATCATATTTTAGTAGAGTAATGCTAAATGCAAGAGGATTCCGTCGTGCAAAAATATTAATGTACAGCACCTAAAAAATTTATGAAGATAAATTATAAATACGAATATGTAGATTTATTTGGTATCAATAATATAGTATTCTAAAATTATATTTTATAAATATAAAATTGTTATAAAATAATGAATGTCCATATGAATGTCCATCTACTTTTCATATCCCTATTACTCATGATCCTTAATATGATTCAATTCACCATTCAATATAAGAAATTGAAAGCATGATGCAATTGATGTACTTTTAATTATTCATAGTCCCTTCCAATTTTCATCCCAATTTTAAGGCCTATAAATAGGCTTGATTGTTCATTTGTTGATGTACAAGTTTCCTAGAAAGAATAAGAGAAACTTTGAAGCTCTTATCACTCATATTCACATTATAATGATTTCATTTTCTTGTCATCCTTTTCTTCAATTCTCCTATCATTTCTATTTATTTTATAACACCGAAACTTTGAAGTTCTTATCACTCATATTCAAATTATAATGATTTCATTTTCTTGTCATCCTTTTCTTCAATTCTCCTATCATTTCTATTTATTTTATAACACGTTATCGGCACGAAGCTCTAACCAATCGAGACAATAGACCATAAGGTATGTATCTACCAAAAGATTTAATCAATTGTTTCAACAATTGGATTTCTTCTACACAAGTGCTCTACGAAAAGATCTAAATTATTTAGATCATTAAGAGGTATGTATCTAATTTATTCATGTACTTTAAATCTATTGATACATGAAATATATATTTGAAAAACTTAAATAATCTACTAACGATCTAATATATGTCATTTGAAAAGCTTTAATTTTATTATTATATTTGTTCTTATTTTCTAATATTATTATTATATATTATATTATAGAATTTTTATCATATCAAACCTCATAAACTTGATTTAGTTACTCTTAATATTTTGAATAAGAATTATTGATTATGAGTGCTTGATTTTGAAAAAATATTCTCTAATTTTTATGTCTTGGATATGCTCCTGTAGTAGCATATCAAGAAAAAGAGTTTAAGAAATATTCTGAATCGATTTCATATTTGCTCATGGCTAAATAAAATGAAAAGCTATTGATGAAAAAGAATAAATCTCGTCCAATTGGATCTATTCCATTTCCCGAAGTGAATGTGACAATTTATAATAATTTTAGACATGGACAAAGATGTAGTCATAACCATGGATGTTGTCAAAATAATTATCATTATAATTGTGATGACATAATATTACATCTCACCACCGAAGTGGATAACTATGAAAAAAAAAGAAGATAAAATCGGTATTCTGAAAAATAAATATTATAGATGTGGAATGAATGAATATTGATCGTGTACTCGCCGTACACCAAAGCATCTCATTGAGCCTTGTCAAGCCTTATTGAAAAATAAAGAGTAAAATATGAAGGCCACTTTTATATATCAAAGTAATAGTAATTGAAATGAATTATTTGTTAGTTTTTCTATTTATAAATAAAATATTTTATATTTATTATAATTTATGTCGTATATTAATGGTTACAAATTTATTTTACTATTTATTTATTTTGTTTATGTTTATGAGGCATATATTGATTTATTTATTTTGTATTGATTTATTTGATTATTTATTTTATGTTAATATTATATATGATAATATCAATATAATAGAAAGCTCTAGAAGAGCGACTATATTATTATCTAAAGAGATAGATTTTAAAGGCTCTAGAAGAGCGACTATATCATGACTTGAAGAGATAAATTTTTGAAGCTCTAGAAGAGTAAATAAATTATTACTTGAAGAGAAAATTTTAAAGGCTCTAGAAGAATCGATATATTATTACTTGAAGTGACTAATTTAAAGGCTCCGGAAGAGCAAATATGTTATTATCCGAAAGGATAAATTTATTATGAATGATGTACTATTCTCTTCAAAGTCTCATGGATATTTGTTGAGTTTCAAAGATATTTATCTAAATTGCTATCATATCAAGATAGCAAATGCAAATTCTTATATGTTATAATCATTATATCGGGTATAAAATATCTATCAAAAAAATTTATCCGTTTTCTCTTTTAGTCTTTATTACAAACATTGAAATGATTGAAACAAATATTATAATAAACCGAAGTTTACTAATTCAAATACTTTTATTATATGACATGACTAGTTGTACTATCTTGGGTCTTTCATGATGCGAAAAATTATTAAAAATTCATAAGGACATCTATTGAAGAACTAGAAGATTTTTCAATTTAATGAACTTTCATGTTTTACATGTTGTCAAGGTAAATTGATGATTAAGCCATTATCAAGTAAAATTGAGATTGAATCTCCAGTATTTTAGAATATATTCAAAGTGATATATGTGGATTAATTTATCCACCATGTGGACCATTTAAATATTTTACAATTTTGATAAATGTGTCCACAAGATGGTCACATATATGCTTGTTATCTATTCGAAACCCGACGTTTTCGAGATTGCTAGCAAATAATTTGATTTTGAGCATAATTTTCAAATTATGCCATTAAAACAAGTCACCTTGATAATGCTGATGAATTTATTTCTCAAGCATTAAATTATTATTGATTAGCTATTAAAATAAAGGTTGAACATCCTGTTGCTCATGTTCATACTCAAAAAGGTTTAGCAAAATCATTTATCAAAAGACTCTAATTGATAGCTAAACCATTATTTAAAAATAAAACTCCCTGTTTATGTTTGGGGACATACAATTTTACATACAGCAACGGTTATTCACATATGACCCATAAGTTATCGAAATTCTCTCATCTTCGGTTGATTTATGATCATCCGATATTGCGAGTGTATATCCTTAGTGCTCATTCATAAGAAAATAAAATGAGCACTTAAAAGAGATTGAGAATATATGTTGGATTTTAATCCTCTTCGATCTCTTGATTCATAAATAAGAGGTATTTTTACAGCTCGATTTATTGACTTTCATTTTGATGAAAAAGTGTTTCCAACATTAGGGGAGAGAGAAAAATAAGTAGTTGAAAATATTGAAAAAAAAAGATTACATGGAGTACTCTATCTTTATATCATATTGAATCTCGTACAAAATAATGTGAACCAGAAGTTCAAAAGATAATTCATTTAAAAGGTATTAGAAACCGACTGCTAGATGCATTCTTAGATCCTAAATGAGTAACTATAATGCATGTCCCCGCAGAGAATGCTCATATTAGAATTGATGTCCCGAAGGATAGTCTATTAATGTTATAGCTAATAAATCTAAAGCACGCCCGAAGCGTGGAAGACCGATCGGTTCTAAAGATAAAAATCCCTAAAAGAAAAGGGCAAGATGAAAATATTCACAAAATGGTCCAATATATTTCGATAATAGGCTTCCAAAAGAAGTCCAAATACTTGAGAAAAATCAAGAGATTTTGATAAATTATATCAATACGAGGAGAAAATAGGACCGAAAAGAAATATCTATTGATAAGATTTTTACATATAATATTGCAATTGATATTATGGATGAAAATAAGGATCCCGAGCCTAAATTATTGAAGAATGTCGACATAAAAATGATTGGCCTAAATGAAAAGAGCAATCTAGGCAAAATTATGTTCTTTTATAAAAGAATAGTTTTTTGAACCCATAGCTAAAACACTCGAAGATGTTAAGCTAGTGGGATACAAATATGTATTTATGCGAAAATAAAATAAAAAAGATGAGATTATAAGATATAAAGCAAAACTTTTAACACAAAAGTTTTCGTAAAGAATTGACATTGACTATGAGGAGACATATTCTCCTATAGTGGATGCAATTGTCTTTTGTTATCTCATTAGCTTGGAAAAATATATGAAAAACATTCATATGCATGCATTTAATGAATATGATCACGGTTTATTTGTTCTTTTGAAATGATATCGGTATGAAAGTCCTAGAAGGACTTAACATGCCGAAGCATGTAATACATATTCTCGAGAAAAGAATTCAATTAATTATAGAGATCTCTATTAGGATTATTTTAGTATTTATTTTATTATTTTGGTTTTTAGAAATTCAATTTATACTTTTTATATTTTATTTTTATATCTACTGTTTATTACTAACCCGTGTGCATGTGATATAATCATTTCAATGATTATTTCTTGAAAGAAAGTTATAAAAATAACCCTATTTGTTCATATGTTTTTATTTGAAAAGGGGGTTTGTTTTATATGTTGATAATTTAAATATTATTGGAACTCCCGAAGAGATTCCAAGTGTCATAAGTTACCTAAAAAGAGAATTTGATATGAATATCTTGGGAAAACAAAATGTTATCTCGACTCGCAGTTCGAGCACTCGGAGAATGAGATTTTCATTCATCAGTCAATTTATATAGAAAAAGGTTCTACAATGATTCTATATAAAGATCATTCATTGACTAGCCCAATGATAGTTCATTCACTTGATATCTAAAAAGACCCTTTTTGACCTCGAGAAGATAACGAAGAACTACTTGGTCCCGAAGTACCATATTTTAGTGTCATTGGTGCATTGATGTATCTTGCTAATAATACTCGACTTAATATAGTCTTTTCTATAAATTTGTTAGCAAGTCATAGTTCTGTTTCAATATAGA